GAGAAGGTAAGGGGGCCTCTCAGGAAAGTGTTGTCCCAAGTCTACAGCCAGCCCAGCCCCCAGCTCAGAGTAAACATCAGAGATAGGATCGGGTATAGCCAGGAAGGGTGGCAGGGTGTGGCCTGGGAGAAGAATGGCAGGATGTGGCACCGGGGCACTGTTCTGGGCACCCACGCCTTGGGCTATTGTTTAGGGCTGCCTGAGGCTCTCAGTTCTCTGGGGCTTTGAAAGGAAGTGCCATTCCCCTAAGACTCAGGCTCTGCCCCACCCTTGCAGTGTGGCCCCCTCCCTGGCAATGCCCTTGGCGCCACCCACTCAGGGCCAGCTTGGGACCGGGAGCCTGCAGTAGAGGGGCTTGGAGTGTGCCTAGTGGGGGGGCACAGTCGTTGGCTCCCCCCAAGAGGGCCTGCCTGTCTGTCCGGGCGGTCTTCCTGTAGCCTGGGTCTGAGTCACCGGTCATGCTCCAATGACTGGAATCTATCTCTCGTCTTTATCTGCATCTAGATATTGGGGGGGAGGGAGGGCTGAGTGTCAACTCCTTTGATTCCAGTCCAACTGGGCTGCTTGTTGGCTGATTGGGAGAGGAAGTGGCTGGTGATTTGTTTTGGGTAGAGAGGGGGCGCTTTGAGTGGGTGGGCCAAGAGCGGGGTGGCTGTGAGGAGGAGAAAAGGAGATCAGCACCTGTAGTGAGTGCCCTGAGCCACTGGCCCTCGGTGGAGGGGGGCGCCTCTGCGCCTAGTCCTAGGCACTGGATTGGGGGCCCCAGGGCCTCTCCAGCACCAGCTTAGAGATACCTAGGGTGAGGATAGCTGGAGCCCTTTCCTCTTAAGGGCTTTTTCACCTGGGACAGGTGCTTAGGTGAGATAGGCTCTGGAGAAGGAAGGCAGCAGAGGGCCCGTGGGGTGGGTTCCCAAGAAGGGGAAGGGAGGGGTAGAGCAAGGATGCTATTCATGTCCAGCTGTACTTCCCTAAAGTGCCCTGTGGACTCACCTCTCTGCACCTCAGTGGAGTGTCTTGTGGTTTTGTGGCCTCTGACCAGGACCTGGGAGGGGCTGCTGAACTTAAAACCTGTGAAACCATGTGGATAGTTGAAGCACGGAGCATGCTTGGTGAGGAAGTGGTAAAGGAATTTGAGGGTTATTTTTAGTCTTTAAGGGAAAAGTAACTCCAGGGAGGGTTCAACAGAGTTTTTAAATCTGAAAGGTATGGAAAATGTGTTTACCTGTCCCAAGGTAAAAACAAAAGGAAATGGACTTGCTTTGCTGCTGGAGGATTTAGGTCACTCACAGGAAGATCTTTGAGGCAAGGAAAAGGCAACCAAGGATAAAAGTGTGGGGGGTGGGAAGTAAACATAAAGAGCAGCCCCCACCAGTCATGGGGACGACAGTGGCTGTCACAGTGCATCCGGGTCTGCCGTGTGTTACGCTGCTGATCTATATTATACTTCGTAATCGTTGTGTGCATGTTTATTGAACATCCACTTTGCTCCAGGCACTGTGCTAGATTCTGGGACCACCATTGATGAGCAAAAGCAGGTATTTTTCACAGTGCCCTGAGGGGGTTGAGTGAGTTCTCAGACTGCTGGGTGAGTCTGAAATAATCATGTGAAGGCATCATTACCAACTATGACAAACACTTTGAAGGCCAACTCAGGGTGCCATGATAATGTGAAAATAGGCATATCCTACAGGGTTTGGAGTGTTAATGGAAGGCTCATTTCTTCATACGGGGTTTTTAAATTTTCGTTTTACTAAGCAGGAAGTGAGGGTTCAGAAAAGTTAAGACACTCAGACTTGCACAGCAGGTGATTGGACAGAATTTGATTTCAAATGTACTTAGGTCTGACTGACCCTGGAGGCTTTACTCTTAGCCACCTGACCCTAGGAGCATCCTGTGCTGCGCAACAACTTGATGCAGCTTGCCCTGTATCATTTCATCTTTGTGGACACCTGTGCAGTCTGGGTTATTTCACCCAGTATATGGTTGCAGAGACTGAGGTTCAGAGTAGTTAATTAACTTGCCCAAGGTCATACAAGCCAGCTGGTGGCAGGGCAGGAATTTGAACCCAGGTTGTTGAACCCGAAAGCCTGTGGGTGTTCCGTTGTTTTCCACTGACAACTCCCCACCCCCTGTCCCAGTACCCTGGCTTTACAGACAAAGGCTGCAGAGGCGAAGCCACTAGTGCACAGAGACACTCAGCTGCAGTGACAGAGCAGGGCGGTATGTCAGCACCCCACCCTCCACCTCATTGTTCTTTCTCTGTTTAGTTTATCACTTGTGACGTTTGCTCTGCACTCAGAAAAGGCTGGGATGGTTGGGGTCCAGAGGCTGGCACCCACGCTTCTCTGAGAGACTTCCATCTCTGTGGGCCTCCGACTCAGCAAGGGCAGGAAGAAGGCTCTTCCTGAGCAGGCCTGTGTGTGTGTGTGGGGCGGGGGGGGGGACAGAGGCAGGAAAAGATGCCCTAGGACCCTCTTCCCAAAAGGTGAGACCAGGAGGAGCCCATCGGGCCTGCGCTGTTGCTCCTCCATCAGCAAATGGGTGCTGAAAGGACCAGCCGAGAGCCAGTGCCCATGCCAGACACTGATGCAAGTCTGTGGGAGTAAAGGGCCCTTGACTGGGCAGCAGGCTGGCAGGATTATATGGTGGGCACCACGCCCTGATGAACAGACTGACACTTCCCAGCCAGCTTGGCTGGTCACCAGAAGCCATTTTCTTTGTTACCAGGAGCTGGGCCAGAGGCCAGATGAGCCTTTGGGAGCTCCAGGGTACTAGCTCCCCAATATAAGGATGACGCACAGTGCCCCACGGCAGGACTGGGGGGGGGGGGTGAGGTGTGGGTAGAAGAGGCTGTGGAGAAAGGAAGGACATGTCCTAGTGCAGCCCTGGCCACAGAGGTAGAGTACGAGCCACACGCAGCGCTGTGGGTTTCCATTAGCTACACTAAGGGTAAGAGAAAAAAAGCAGATGAATGAATTTAACCCAACCTTTACAAAATATTGTAAATTCAACATGTAACCAGTGGCTAATTATTTACAAGTTATTTTACATTCTATTCCTTGAAAACCCAGTGTATTTCCACTGGGTCTGGCCCATTACGTGTTCTCAGTAGCCCTGTGTGCTGAGTGGCTGTACTGGGCATTGTGGTCCAGCAGTTAATTAGGACAGAGAATCGCCTCCTCTGCCTGCACCTTCCATTGGGGGATGGCCGGAAGGTCAGCGTCTGGCACTGGGGAGATAGCAGCTCAGGTCGACCGAGGCCTGGAGGCCTCAGACCTGCTCATCTAATCCTGCGCATTGCTGAGGCTCGTCCTGGGCTGCCGTGGGAAGAAAGGCTTTGAGGTGGGGGCTGGAAGGTCACAAAGTTGGGCCAGAATGGAAGAGAAATGCCCTTAGGACCCAAGTCCGGAGCAAGGAGGGGACCTGGTGCCCTGCCCGAGCCAAGGCCAGTGGAATAGTGGGTGTGGGCCGAGGTGGCTCGGAGCCGGGCGGGATCAGAAGCCCACAGGCCTGCATTGTTCGCCTGTCACACTTCCTTTGGCTTTATTGCCTTTGTCCAACACCCTATTGTCTGGTTTCCTTTTGTCCCCCTTTCAGTGCTGCTGCCTTTTATTTCCCAGCCAGCCTGGTTGTTTTCATTTCTTTTGTCTGAAGTTCCTGAGAGGAAGGTTTTATTTTCAGCGGTTTGATTAATTCACAGCTTGAGCTGAGGTTTGTTTGTTATGTAATTGCTGCCCTCAGCTTCAGGATAATACCCCTCCTCAGCTCCCCCTGCCCCCACCCGGCTCGCCTGCCTAGGCCTGGCTCTATGCCCCTCCCTGGGCCCGGATGGGCTGAGCCACCCACTTCCTGGATGCTCTCCAGGTCCCCGGGTGGTGGGAGGGCACCTGGAGCTGGACCCCAAATCCCTGGGCCAACTTCCCCAGGGCAGGTTTGCAGGGCCCCAACGGGGTTCCATACCAGCCCCCAGGGGGCCCTGCCCTTTGAAAGGTGCCGGAGAGTATGGGCCAGTCTGTAGGATGGTATCAAATTGAACACATCATATTCAGGTGTAATGTATTTTTCACGTATTTAGTATGTTGTATGTGGCATATTGTGAAATTCATTGTACAAGAAACATATAGTTGTACGAAACTGAAGTGATATGTAAATGTAGTGTGCCTGAAATTTAACTTAAGGTCTGTTTACTACATCTGATTTTTTGCCTTGTACTTCCCTCCTAAAAGAATTAATGCCCATATAAAAAATCTTTAAAAATTATTTACTTAACAATGCTTCTGTTGTATCAGAATCACCTGTTACAACAGAGATTCTGGTTTGTGAGGGACCCGTGACTTTGCCTGTCAAGCCTCCAGCACTGCTAAGGATGTGTACACACACATACATGCATAACCTTGGCTTTACTGGGCTGAGATGGAAATAGCCACTTAGAAATCTCTGGCTTCCTTAGGTGGACCCATCAGCCCACTGGTGCCAACACTGCAACAGGCAGAGAGCATCAAGTCTGGTCCCAGTCTTCTCTAAAGCTTCCTACTTAAAAAAAGGGTGGAGGGAAGAAGAATCTTTCTGATTTTCTTTTCTTTTAAAATTTTCTAATTCACAAATTTAATCTTAGCTTCTGGTTTTTATTTTATTTTTTAAAAGATTTTATTTATGTATTATTAGAGAGAGGGGAAGGGAGGGAGAAAGAGGGAGAGAAATACCAATGTGTGGTTGCCTCTTGCACGCCCCCTACTGGGGGCATGGCCCACAACCCAGGCATGTGTCCTGATTAGGAATCGAACTGGCAACCGGCAACCCCCTGGTCACAGGCTGGCGGTCAATCCACTGAGCCACACCATCCGGGGCTCTTATTTTCCACTGTATGTCTTCAGTAGGAGCTCCCATCTTGTGAATGTGCCTGTTTGGGGCTGGGGATGGAGGCGGGGCTGGGGATGGAGGCGGAGCTGCCACTCTGGCTCCCAGGACTCATGTCATTCACTCTGCCCCTCCTCCCGCAGGATGTCCATGAGGAGCCCCGGCTCTGCCCAGCTGGCTCTGGATGGCGGTAGCACCATGGTGAACTGTGCTGTCAAGTCAGAGGGGAAGAAGGAGCCCTGCCACGAGGCCCCCCAGGGCTCAGCTGCCACAGCTGAACCCCAGCCCAGAGACCCAGCCCGAACCACCCAGGATGGTGCTGACCCTCAAGCTCTAGCCCAGGTGCCCAGCACTTTCCCAGGGTCTCCTGGGTCAGTGTTCCCAGTTTGTTAGTGTCCCTACCACATCCATGTACCACCCCTGGCCTCTTCTTGAAGCCAGACAGGCACCCACCTGGGCTGGGCAGAGGGGCAGGCAGAAATGGTCATCCCTGGGGCAAGACTTAAGTGAATAGGGAGGGCCTGCCAAGTTCATTCGGGTCACCTGTCCAAGTGGACATGGACTCACTCCTGCAGTCAACTGACATTAACACTCACCTTTGTGACCCATCCTTATCCCAAGGACTAGTTGGAAAGATAGGATATGTATGCTTCAATGTTGGCTTGGAGATACCTAATAGCTTGTCATCTGAGTTAAGAAAATCAGTCTGATTACTGAAGCCAGAGATAAATTGCTGTTTAGGACTATACAGTTTCTCACCCTTAAAACAAAGGAGCTGAAAACTATGTGAGCAGTAAGGATTCTTGCAGCTCTTAAAAATTCTGTCATTCCATGTAAGACATGTAAAAAGGGAATATATAGTTAAAAACCCAAACGAGAAAATAGAAGAGGTTCAGGGTCATGATCAGGGGTCCAGCTTGGAGGAGTGTCTGGGAGGGAGTTAGGAGGCTGGGTGGTTATCGAGGAAGACTTCCTGGAGGAGTAGGGCCCCAAGCTGGACCTTAAAGAATGAAGAGGAAGCAGTGAGAAGAGCAGAGGGGTCAATGTCTGAAGAAGAGGGGGGCCCTTGGAGTAAGTGGCCCACCTCGGGTGGTGGGTATGTGCAAGGGATTAATAATTAACAGCTGGCTCTGGGCCCCTGGCTGCTGTGGCAGGCCTCATCCACATGCATTAACTCGCTGTGAAAGGGATGGTAGGAGTCCGTTTTCAGCAGAGGCGAGTCAGGTTCAGGAAAGTTCAGGGACTCATGTGGGATCAAGCACCTTGTGAGTCACTGAGCCAGGTCTCTTGTCTTTCAACCTTTTATTCTTTTCAGTATATCAGACAATGTCAGAGCAAAGGAAGGTGGGGTGGAAGGGCCCTACAGTGTAAATCTGCAGGGTGCCCCCAGAAGTGACAGTGACATGCAGTGTGCCTTATAGAATTGCAGCTCACCGGAGAGCAATGGGTCCCTGGAGCCCAAAAAACCAGGAGGTTCTGAGGCTGCTTCTGGAAGCCAGGAGAAGCTGGACTTCAGCCAAAATTTAAAAGAAGGTAAGATGTATGCCCTGGTTAGAGGCAGGGGTGTCTCAGGCAGGGTTGGCCGGGGAGGTGTTAGGACAGTGGGTCCTTATCCTTTGATGTCTTCTAGTCGTGCCGGCCATTGAGAAGCTGCTGTCCAGTGACTGGAAGGAGAGATTTCTGGGAAGGAACTCTGTGGAAACAAAAGATGTCAAAGGTGAAGGCCGTGGGGGTGGTCAGGGGAGGGATGTCTGAACCCCTGTGCCATGCTAACTTCTGCCTGGCTGTGGGGTCAGCATATCCCTCAGCCAGGGACCAAGCATTAGGTCTGGCTCCTTCCCACGTAGGAGGAGGCGTGGTGGGAATCAGATCCCATGGATATGGGTGTGGGCTCTTACCTGGGGCCCTTGTGACCCTTGGGCATATCATTGCCACATCCCAGAAGTAACTATAGAACGATCAGGATATTCCCTTAAATTTTTGAAAATAAATTCTAGGCCAGCAGGATCTCACTAAGGGCTTCTTAGTGGGGTGATTAAAGGGGTCATTTCCCAATGTAGTTAATTACACTCACAGAGGGCACTTTATTTATTTGCAAGACAAAAGAACCAAATTTAATACACACAGGATGTATGGGAACTCCACATACATGGGTGTCAGAGACCCACATGCATGAGAGTTCAGAGACAGAAAGGGAACCTGGGTACGTGAGACACTCTGTGCTGGGGACAAGGCAGTGCACCTTGGGGGCTTCAAAGTGTCATCGCAAGATGCTAAGGAGAGCAGATATTTTTGGTGAATAAAATTTTGCCCGGTATAGGTGGATCAAAAGAGATTATTTCTGATAGTCTCTTATTATGGGCAAAGCCCCTAGTTCAAGTTCTTCTAGGTAGTTAAAGGGAGGGAGAGAAGTTTCTTTTGAGCCCGAAGAGGTAAGGTACATCTTGGTGCAGCTGAAGTTGCCTTTAGCTCAAAACAATCTGTATACCGCTGAGGTACATCTTGGGGTGGCTTGTTCTGAACCTCTACAGTTCCCTCAGAAAATCTCCTGGAACTTCCACATTCCAGAAGATGGGCTGATAGAAGACCGTTCTGTATATCATTAAACCAGTCTAATCCTGAGAAAAGTTCAGTTAAATTTGTATATCATTTCAGGAGGCAGAGGTGCCAGTAGGCCTCCAAAGTTAAGCCCATGGTGCAAACCCTCAGGTATTTAATACGAGGTGTCTCTGGAAACAAAACAGGTTAATGATTGAAGCAGACTGTCATCTCGGTTTCCGAGTGCTGAAGGCCGGCAGTTGCGGTCCGACAGGTCCTCTCGGGTTGCAGTGTGAGTGTCCTTGACGACCCCTCTGCAACGGGCACCACGCTCGTGCACGGACGAGCTGCCGTGGTGATTTCTGTGAAGTGCACACCAGGTTGTCCCACTTTGGCCTCTGTGGCCTTGGGGAAAGGGCAGTTCCAGTTCTCCATGATTCCAGGTCAGAGGTGGGAGCATGAAAATGTCAGTTCGGGGAGTTACAGCCAGATATTTAAGAAAACTGGAAAAAGTCAGGATCCAGTCCAGTGTATAGGTAGAAAATTTAAAAAACTCAAAAGGCAATAAACAGCACTAGAATGTAATATTATAGTTTCTACTGAAACAGGTTTTCTCTCTAAAATCACCCCCATTTTTACCAAAGATAACCAAATTAAGACATGCAAAATAAGTCTAGTTGCAATAAACTTGGCGTGGTTATTTGTGTAAGTCCAGCAAGAATAGTAACCACATAGGCTCTTTTTAAATCTGCTTTGCTGGAATTTAAAAAAAAAATTTAAGATTTCATTTATTTATTTTTGGAGAGAGGGGAAAGAAAAGGAGAGAAACATCGACATGTGAGAGTTATATCAATTGGTTGCCTCTTGTGCGCCCCCAACTGGGGACCTGGCCCACACAACCCAAGTATGTGCCTTGACTAGAAATCGAACTGGTGACCTTCTGGTTTGCAGGCCAGCACTCCATGCACCGAGCCACACCAGCCAGGGTGCTGCTGGAATTTCTCATAAGGAATCTTCAAATTGAGTTTTATAAGGCCTCTCAAGGCCTGAGAAACTAAGGCAAGGACTTGCCATCAGACACTGCCTGTGTGGTTTGTACCTGTAGGTTTGGGTGAGTTCATCTCTTCCAGGGTTTCTACACTTGCCAAGAAGTGACATTGTTTACTCACATGGTAATGCTGCTGGGAAACCTGTAAGCAGAATACTGCCAGGCCAGTATTTCCAAAGGTTTTTATTGGCTCCCATGAGTTATGTCAAACTTAATTCCTTAAAGCTGTCTGTTCATATCTGAGCCTGTGCATCTCACTCAAATATATGTCCATGAAAACCTTGTAATAAAACCAGTTTCCAGTTGCATCCTATTATAAAAGGAAGGGATTCTTACCGAACTTATGCAAATACCATGTTGCCATAAAGTAATAATACTTATTAAGAGTTTCCAAATTCTGGAGGGGTCAGGTAGGGAGAAATATATAAACGTTTTAGTATTGCTTACAAAAGTATAATCTACCAATTGTAAGTCATAGGTAGTTTAAGAGAAATTTTCTCTTATCTGGCAAACAATAGCTTAAAAAAAATCAGTAGTCTCAAACAAAAAAGTCATAAAATCAGTTCATTCATTTCTATGTAGTGCAACTTGTTCTGCTTGAATCTGGTTTTGCCACTAGTTCTCTTGACCTTGCCTGATAGTAGAGCGTGATAGAGTCAGTGATAATTCCAAGTTTGCAAGGCCATCTGTCAAGGTTTATGTGATTTGCTCAGGGAAGTGGGTGTCTCCATCACAGAGGGCACTTTAATGCAGATGCCAAGGTTCCAGCCCCATCTACTGAATGAGAACCCCAGAGGATGGGGGCCTGGGCATCTATTTTCCAAAGGCTTCCTGAGTAATTCCGGTGCAAATCATCAGTGGCCTGGCATTTTCAACGTCTGATATTAGCTATATTGGAGGGAAGGGAAGCACTAACAGTGGTTGGTTGAGGACCATGTGCCAGATCCTGGACTAAAAGTTTCACATTCATCCCCTCTTTAACCCTTACAGCAACCCCTTGAAGTGATGATTAGTGTGCTTATTTGTAGAATAAAAAACCTCAAGTGCAGGGAAGTTGGTAACTTGCCCAAGAGCTCATTGGTGGGACGAGTTGAAAGGGGAATTTGACCCCCATCTTTCTTGCTCCAAAACCTGAGCGTGTCTTGCTAGGCCGCTCCTGTGGGATGGTTATGCATCCTGACCCAGTGGCACTGGGCACTTGAGGACGTCCAAGGGGCGGGCGGGCTGAAATACCCCACCTCCATCATCTTCAATGGCTGGTGGTAGCATATCTAGGACAGCCAGTTGTCAGCGTGCAAGATGAAGGGCCCTTCCAGGGTAAGGCTCAAGTGTCAGTCACTTCTGGCTCAACCCCTAATGGGCCTGAGTCAGAGCAGTTGATCAATAAACAGCAGATGATGGACGGCTAGACAGATGACCAAACAAAAATTTTTGGTGGTGCCAATTTCACTCTGGAGCAGGGACCCAAGAGAGCCTGGCGGAGAAGGAGCTCCAGCTTCTGGTCATGATCCATCAGCTGTCCACCTTGCGGGACCAGCTTCTGACGGCCCACTCAGAGCAGAAGAACATGGCGGCCATGCTCTTTGAGAAGCAGCAGCAGCAGATGGAGCTGGCCCGGCAGCAGCAGGAACAGGTAGGCCCAGCTTGGCATCTGGCTTTGGGGGGGTGGGGGGCATGGTCTCTCAGGGCCTAGAGGGAGCACCTCTGGGGCAGCCCAGCCAGTACAGGCTGAAGCCTGGGGCGGGTGGGGGGAGGGGGCTCTTAGGGGAGGGACCATGGGCCCGCCTAAAGGATTCCCACTTCTGGCTATTCATAAGCTTTATGTGGGTCGGGCTGGAAGGATGCTGAAGGGTCCTGCCCAAGTTCCATCCCTGGCCTCTGAGGGAAGGGTGAGCTCCTAGCAAAAGGAGGATAAATTCTGAAGGTTGGCTGTTGTGCTTCTTGCCCTGCTCAGTTCTCTTCCATGTTTGCACTCTCAGAAGGCAGGGTGTGTGGTTGGGGCTCAGAAGACTCTGGGAGGTGGAGCCTGGGGGCCTAAGCCCATGCCGCCTTTGCCTACTCTTTCCTTTGCCAGATCGCTAAGCAGCAGCAACAGCTAATTCAGCAGCAGCACAAAATCAACCTCCTTCAGCAGCAGATCCAGGTGATAAGGGGGGAAGGCTGGGTGATGGGAGAGCTGGAGGCTCAGGGGTTGATACCTGCCCGGAGAGGTGCTGAGGACACGGAGGGATAGGCAGAACTACTCAGGCATGACCCCTAGGGCGGGGGTCCTTTCCTGTTCTGTTCTCCTCTCCTGTCTTCTTCCCGTTTCAAGGGAATGGGGCCCAGAATACATTCCTCCCCAGCTGGCACCTGAGGGCAGACCGGTGCCTCTAGAGGTGGTATGGGGTGGTAAGTGGTCAGACAGATTCTTTGGAAGACTGTCCTTGCCCCGAGCTCTGTGCCTCTCATCCTCGGGTCCACCCTCTGTCCAGGGCTGGCCACGGCTGGGTAGCCATTTGGGCGGCTGAGGACTCAACACAGGGTTTCTTTGCTCTCAGCAGGTCAACATGCCTTATGTCATGATCCCGGCCTTCCCCCCAAGCCACCAACCTCTACCTGTCGCCCCCGACTCCCAGCTGGCTTTGCCCATTCAGCCAATCCCTTGCAAACCAGGTGAGTATGCGATGGCAGTCCTGAGGTGGTTATGGAAAGGAGGCGTAAAGCGGTGCTCATCTGTTGTTCAGGGCAGCCCTTCTGGGTCTTGTTCTGGGTCTGTCCAGTGGAAGAATGATCCCTCGTGTCTAGACGTCACTGGGAGAATGAGAAATAGTACATCGGAAACCATAAAGTGCTCTCCGCGGTTAGCCAGTCCAGGTCTAGCCTCTTCAGTTCTGGTACATTCACTGTACCCCGGAATATTAATATTTTGAACATTAACTGAGATTCTATGTCCCAAATTTATACTTCTGTTCATGCCCTGACTGTGACAGCTCTTGCCCTCTGCCCTGTCTGCCCTGTCACTGAAACGCAGTGACCACAATTGAGCACCGACCACACATCAGATGGTGTGTGGTTGCGGGATGGCCAGGGGGGTGATAAATGTGAACTCTGAGCTCAGGAATTTACAGCCTGGGGAGGGAGAAAGAAGGCTGCCAGCAACTAGGGAGTGTGGGAAGGTCTGCTGGGGAGGCGCGGCTTGAATGGGTGCTGGGAGAGTGCACTGGTGAGGGTGGAGCTGGGAGCTGAGGGCAGAGGGCACTGGAAAGGCAGTGCAGGCCGAGGCCCTGGGACCTGAGACAGTGCGTGACAGGGTGGTGGGGACCAGGCATGGACTTCGGGGTTTATTCTGTGGAAGGTGGGCGTGCTTGAGCCCTTGAGTAGAGGGTAGGCTGTGACATGGCTGCGGGTGATGGGGAATGGAGAGTGGGCCAACCAAAGGCAGAAATGGGTAGGTGGCTGTTGAGGTGATTCCAGCAATAGAAGGTGACAGCCTGAGTGAGGGTAGTGACAGTGGGACAGAGGCAGAGGTAGAATTATTAGGCCACAGTCATTGATTCTTTGAATGGTCATGGGGACAGGGCAGAAACTGATGGTCCCAGGAGTGGGGGTAGCTTTTAAGTCAACACCTCTGGTCCACCCTCCCTGTTCCATAGGAGAAAGAAGGCGGGGGAAATTCAGTGGGTTGGTGAGTTCCTACAGTTCCACCATCAAGCCCGCAGGCCATGGGCAAAGTCATTGGTTGACCCCACCGATTCTGTTCACCTTGAGGAAAGATTCCAGTGGAAAGGGGAGGACAGGGCAACAGCATGAAACCATTGCATTTCCAGGTGAACATGGAGCCCGAGGCACAGGGGTGAGGAGAGCAGGGGCCGGCCTGGACAGGGAGGGCACGCATACTTTCCGGACCAGGGAGGCAGGAAATAAGCTGTGGAAGACCTGGACTGGCCAGGCTGCCACTTGCTTCATTTGATCCAAGATTCTAGTAAGGAGGGGGCCTGCAAGCTGCCAGATGCCCCTTCCTGTAGCTGAGTGAGCAGTCCCAGCTCACAGGCCTTGGATGGCGCTCCATTGCCTATAGCATGGAGTCCAGACTCCAGAGCCCAGCCTTCGCATGCCTCTGAGCCCACCTTGTCTATCCTCTGCCAGTCTCCTTTCCCACATCTCACTTTCACACCCTGCCACTGCGCATGCCATGCCTGTGGGCACGAGCTCACATCTCAGCTCCCCACCAGAAGCCGGTGCCAGTCCCTTCATCTGGAACAAAGTTCTCTCTCATGCAGTGCATCTCCTGAGCCCATATCACACGGGCTCCATGGTTAGCGATTTGTATACATAGCTGTATCTCCATCTGAACTGTCAACTCCTTGACTCTGGGCCTGGTCGAGGAAACTGAGATAAGAAAGAAGAGTGCCATGCAGAGGGAAGAGGACAAATTGTGGAGTATAGAGGACCCAGGTTCAAACATCAGCGCTCCCATTGATTAAGGTGTGGGCAACTCTAACTCCTCTAGGTCTCAGTTTCTTTATCTGTAAGATGGAATGATGTATTGAGCACCTATTATATACCACGCAGTGAGGATTATTGTGAGAGAATGTACTGGAGACAGGATACACAGAAGGTAGCTGCTTTTGTACCCTGCACATAATAGGTACAAGTATTGGCAGTGAATAGATGGTATTTCTGTTCTCATTTCACCTGGGTTTGGAACTCCAGGCTCGGTGGGTGACGAAGGGCAGGACAGGGTGATGATACCTGCTGGCACGTAGGGCAATGGTGGGGAGGGCTCAGAGGTCCTTGGCACCACTCTGGGGCCAGGGTGACCACTGGCTGGAAGCAAGCTGGGCCAGCTGCAGGTCTCTGTCCACTTTGTGCTGCTGGGGCCCATCAAGCAGGGTGTCTGCCAGTCTGTGCTCATCCAGGCCTTTTCTCCTTGCTGTCTTTTCCACAGTGGAGTATCCATTGCAGCTGCTGCACAGCCCTCCTGCCCCAGCTGTGAAGAGGCCCGGGGCCATGGCCACCCACCATCCCCTGCAGGTACTGTGCCATCTACTCCCTAGCTGGGCTGGCTGGCTGGCTGCCACTTTGTCTCTTCTGGGTATGCTTCGCCCCTCTCTCCCTCTCTGGGGATCTGCATTGGTGTCTCTCACCCTCTGCCTCTGGGTCCGCCCTAGGAGCCCTCCCAGCCCCTGAACCTCACAGCCAAGCCCAAGGCCCCCGAGCTGCCCAACACCTCCAGCTCCCCCAGCCTGAAGATGAGCAGCTGCGGACCCCGTCCCCCCAGCCACGGGACTGCCACACGGGACCTGCAGTCCAGCCCCCCCAGCCTACCTTTGGGTAAGGTTTCTACCTGCTTCACCTTTCCCTTAGACCTCTCTAGGGAAGTCAAGAGAGAGTGATGCGACCTTGGGAATGACCCTTCCCCTCAGTAGGTTAGACTTGCTCTAGTCCAGCCCCTTGTAGTTTCAGCATTCGATGTCTCAAAAGGCCCCCTTCTCTCTGCCACCATGTCTGTCAGGGCACCCTAGCCTCTGGTGGTTCAGGCCGCTGGGTCACACAGTCTCAGGGCAGGCTACCCTTTTCCCAGTCTGCCAACACGAGAGGCACTGTGAATGGTGCTCCCTTGGGAATGTGCAGTGTGACGGCCCTGGGAAGGGACTGGAGGGAGCACCAGAGGGGCATGGCATGAACTGGGGTGACCCCCCAGCTCCCTTCCGCATCCCTTCTCCTCCCCTCGTAGGCTTCCTTGGTGAAGGGGATGCTGTCACCAAGGCCATCCAGGATGCTCGACAGCTGCTGCACAGCCACAGCGGGGCCTTGGAAAGCTCCCCCAACGTGCCCTTCCGTAAGGTATGGGCCCTGCTTCCCTCTGCCTGGGAGCAGGGGATAGATGATAGGGGTGGGAGACAGAGTTTGAGGCCACCAAGGGAGCAGGGGTGGGGAAGGAAGTGGGGTGGCACAGAGAGGCTGATGTACAGGTTGCCTCGTCAGTCCCAGGACCTCGTCAGCTTGGACGCGTCCCCAGTCAAGGAGCAGCTGGAGGAGCGCTGTGTGCACCCACTGGAGGAAGCCATGCTGGGCTGTGATGTGGACGGTGAGGCGCAGGGCACCGGGCTGATGGGCGGGAGGGCCACCTCTGCTTCCCACCAGGGTAGGGTGGGCACGTCATGTCTGTTTCCTGTCCCTTCTCTCCCTTTGTGGAGTCCATCTCAGGGTCCCTGGTGTCTGTTGACATCTTGCTGCTGGCCATCCCTGGGTGCTGTGGGAGCCCTCCAGCACTCCCCAATGCTCATTGTGGCGTGTTTCTTTCTGCTGGCCCTGGAGGACTGTTCTTAACCCTACACCAGCTGCCCTGCTGACTCCACCCCTGTCCCCCAGGCTCCCGCCACTTCCCTGAATCCCGGAACAGCAGCCACATCAAGAGACCCATGAATGCCTTCATGGTGTGGGCCAAAGATGAGCGGAGGAAGATCCTCCAAGCCTTCCCGGACATGCACAACTCCAGCATCAGCAAGATCCTCGGTAAGGGCCATTGGGTCAGGCCTGAGGGAGCTCTGGACTCCAGGAACCGTTGTCCAGCAGGACGTGGTTGAGGAGCGAGTTGGATCTGTTTGGGGCTTGCTTGACAGTCCCCACCATGTTGAACTCTGGTGGGATCTAGTGGAGTGTGGGAGTTAGGTGGGATGCGGGGCAGCTGAGTCCCAGGGTTTTGTACTGTTGTCTGGCTCTTCTGCCAGCACCTGCACCTGCACCTGAACTTAAGGAGAGTTTGTTCATACATGTACCTGTGAAAGAGAGCACCTCCTCTCATCTCTGCCTAACTAACCTGTTCTACTGACTAGAAGGAAATAGATGTTCTTGGGCTACAGTAGAAAGATTTTTCAATGAGATGCCAATTTTTCGATTAGAGGGTGGGATGTAGGGTGGGGCAGGCAGGGCTAGAAGAGGGCAGTGGTTTTCAAGACCGAGACTCCTCCGATGTCTGTGCTTGCCTCTTACGGGCACAGATAGCAGATATTTTGTCCTGAGCAGGAAGCCTCTTTTTATCAGTGGGCTTCAGTTTGCTGCTTTTTTGTTTAAGCAAATAACGCAGAGCAGAGGCCTCTCAGAAGTTGTTGGGTGCCGTATCTTAAGCTGGCAGTTGAATGTCTATGTACATGCCAACTTCACTGTATCATTTGCTCAACGTCCAAGGAGAGCATCCATATTGGGCCAGGTTCTTGCTGAGTGCTTACACAAAAATCTGGGAACCAAAACATTCTCGGCTGCTCCAGGGCCTGCAGGTGGTTGGGGTGGTTCACAGATCCAACCTTGCTAAGCTAATACTGATTGCCTGCCTCTGGGGGCTGGGCCAGGCTCCCGTTGGAAGTCCATGACCAACCAGGAGAAGCAGCCCTACTACGAGGAACAGGCAAGGCTGAGCCGGCAGCACCTGGAGAAGTACCCTGACTACAAGTACAAGCCACGACCCAAGCGCACGTGCATCGTGGAGGGCAAGCGGCTACGGGTAGGCGAGTACAAGGCCCTGATGAGGACCCGACGCCAGGATGCCCGCCAGAGCTACATGACCCCGTGAGCAGGCCCTCCCCAGGCTGCTGAGACTGCACGTGTGTGCAGCTGTTGTGAGAGGCTGGGTGTTAATGTGTGGCTCACTTGTGTGTGACTGCAGGAGTGCTATGCCTGTGTGTCTGTTGGCTGTGAGTGTCGGTGCGTGTGTGAGCATTATCTCTGTGGCTGGGCCTCCATGTATAACTGCAAGGGCAACTGTGTGGTGGGTACCTAGTGTATCAGGATATAAGTTTGTGACAGAGTGTGGAAGGCTGCTATATACCTGGAGAAATGTGCCTGTGGATTCCTTTTCTGACAAACTCAGTAAAAGTTCAGGGGTGTCCCCCCCCCAAAACCAGAAGATTCGTGACTCAACCAAAGCATTTAAATATACAATTTGCAAAAGTGGGATTCATACACAGTCCTCCAGGAATATCTTTGAAGATATGTGTGCAGGGCTGTAGCTGACAAGGAATGTGAGTGTCAGAAAGCAGCCCAGGGGTGCAGAGTGTGTGTCTCGGAGCCAGAAGAGGGTGCGGTGAGAGGGCTCGGCCTGAGGAGGCCTCGACGGGAGCTGGGTGGGGGTGGAAGGGAAACTGCTTCTGTAACCCGCCTCCTGTCTACCCCGAAGCCCGCAGGCGGGCCAGGTGCAGATGAGCTCCCCAGATGTCCTGTACCCTCGGGTGGCACAGACCGTGGTGGAGCACTACGTGCCCCGAACCTTGGACCCCAACATGCCCGTCATCGTGAACACCTGCAGCCTCAGGGAGGAGGCGGAGTCCATGGAGGACAGGCACTCGGTGGCCGACGGTGAGATGTACCGGTACAGCGAGGATGAGGACTCGGAGGGCTCGGAGAAGAGCGATGGGGAGTTGGTGGTGCTCACGGACTGATCTGGGGAAGACCTGGCCCCGAGCCAAGGGGCACAGCCAGCCCACCGGGACTGCGTTGGTACTTGGACTTGGGTGTGCTGGGAGATGGCACAGCTGTGTACTTGTAGATACAGGCCCCCTCCCCACCTGCAGGCACACCTGAAGAGCTGTTGGCATAAGTGGGCAGGGCCTGTACAGCGGTGACAGCTGAGCTGGCTGAGTTCCTTGGCCCCTGGGGCTCATAGCTGGGGGATACTGTATGACCGTCCCCTACTGCAGGTCAGCCCTCCCCGGGTGTACGACAGCTCCACACCTGTCTCCTTGGAGCACATGCTTTGTTTCCATCCTTGTCCTGGCTGGACCAGCCACCGTGGGACCAGCACCCCCGCACCCCCTCTGCACCCACACATGGCTCCTCCATCACCAGGGTCACTTTGCACTTTGTGCAGAAAGGTCTGGCTGTCCCTCTGTTTTTATCTTCTTTGAAGCCTGTTGTGCCTCTGGCTGCTGTGTGTGCACGTGCGTGTGTGTGTTTTCTTCTCTCATTGGTTGCATATTTATTGAGCGCCCACTGTGTGCTAGGCGCTGTTGCTGACTTCCTGTGGGTGTGTCTCTTAATGCCACTCTTGCTTCTCTGGGGGCCTCTCTGTATTTTCTGTCCCCATATTGCTACCTCTTTGTCAGTCTGGGTGTCTCAGGTTCTGTGTGTCCTTGTCTTTCTGCAGGGCCCTGTTTGTGTCTCTCCCTTCCTTGGCATCTGACTCTGCCCGCTGGCCACTCTGGGTCTCTGAAGGCCCCTGGGCCACCCTGACATCCCCTGCCCACCCCTTTACCCCTCCCTGACTCTTGCTGGTGGGTTCCCACAGAGCCATTTTTAGCTCTGAGCAGCATGGGAATGTGCTCAGCCTCCATGGAGCCCTGCCCTGGTGCCCCAGACCCTGGTCCCAATCTGGGTGCCAGGAGTGGGAGCAGGAACACTGGTGGTGCCCCCTTCCTGTTGGTGCCAGAAGCCCTGGAGAGCAGGCTCCCATGGCAGCTGGTTTCCACTCCTTGGACCAGGGAGTCGGGGCGGGGTGTGGGGGGGTGAGGGGGGGTTGGGCCCAAGGCTCACGGAGAATGGAGAGAAGGCCCATTCTCCGTCCCCGCCCACCCACCTCTCACAGCTTTGCCTCACCTGCCTGTCCCTCCCACTACGCTGGGCGACATGCTTCTGTTCCCGACCACTTTCACAAACTACTTCCTTAGGAAAACGAAACCCCGTTGGCATGACTCCAAAGATCCAGGTGGGGTGGAGTGGGAAGGGAACCCCAAGTCCCACAGGGACAGTTCTGGAGTCTGTGCCTATGCCCCATCCTCTCCCCAAAGCCCAACTTCTCTCCAGGCTGTTTCTTTTTTTATGACTGTAAACATAGATAGTGCTTTATTTTGTTAATAATAAGATAATGATGAGTAACTTAACCAGCACATTTCTCCTGTTTACACTTGGGAAGTTTTTTGTTTTCTGTTGGTATAATAAAAACCAGCCATTTCAGAGTTCGGCCCTTGCGTAGGGGAATGGGGGCAGGCTCGAGTCCAGCAGTCCTACAGCTGCCACCAGCCCAGGCATCACTGCCCCCTGCTGGCAGCCTGAGGGAGCTTCAGGCCTGTGACCCAGAAGGAACATCTGAAGCAAGCAGGAGAGGCTCAGACCCAACTCTGGCTCTCCTCTCCCCACCCCTGGCCCTAGAACCCAGAGCGCACACTCTGAATAAGATACTGCCCTTGCCTTGAGGTGGCGAGCCAGAGCCCGCTCTCAACACACGCTGTCCATGCCTGGAGAGAGAAACGCAGCAGTGGAACTGCTGTTGAGTCAGGAAGTTTGGGTTCTTCCCAGGTCTAGCCACGTGGCCTTGTGCATGTGTGTGTGTTGGGAGTGAGGGGTGTCAGGACTCCCCTCAGACCTCACTGTCTTCGTCCCAAGACAAGGAGGTTAAGTCTTATCCATGGTTCTTACCTTCTTTTTGGAGGAGCCCTTTGAGAATCTATTGAAAACCATGGGTCCTCTCTCATCCCAGAAAAATGTTCACACGGACACCCCTAACTCCTGTATAAGCTCCTGGGATACTGATTAATGAACAGGGTCTCTGGTGTGTTTCAGGGCTGTATCTGTGACCTTATGCTTTTTTTTTTTTACCTTATGCTCTTTTTTAATCCAGGATATGTTTATTGATTCTAGAGAGAGAGACAGTCATGTGAGAGAAAAGCATCAATCATATATATGTTGCCTACCATATATGCTCCAACTGGGAATCGAACCCACAACCTTTTGGTGCATGGGACGATGCTCCAGCCGACTGAGCCGCCTGGCCAGGGCTCTGACCTTATGCTTTGAATGAGGATTTCAAAGAACTTTATATTGCACTTAGGGGAAATAACAGTCTATTAGACCTGGAATGGCTAGGTAAGAGATTTAAACTCTCAAGATACATACTAACAGGCATCAATAAAAAGACTTAACTCCTGTGGTTAAAAATTTATCATGTTAATATGGAATAGGGACAGCAAAGCTGAACGGCAATTCTTGGGAAAGAGATCTGGGTGGGAGTCATAGAGGCATGTGTTCACAAAAAGGAGGTGACGAACCAGTGTACACCACAGCCCTAGCCCCTAAACAAAGGCCATTGTCACACTGAAGAGACCCAAAGACAGGTACCCTGCACAGAAGAGGACTGCTGGAGGGGACATGTATTAGAGGCATGGTTGAAAGGGTCTCCTCTTCTCCCCAGAAAAGAGACTAAGGTAGGGCGTAAGGGATAAGACTACCTTCTTCAAAGGGGCAAATACAGTCTGCAGGTTATGAGGTAGAACTGGCTTCTTGATCTTCTCAAGGGTCATATTTTTGGCTTAAAACAACGTTTGACAAAAATGTTCAAAGTGGTGGTGAACCTTCCAACACAGGAAATATTCCAGCAGAGCCCAGATGGGGGCAGGGGACATTAATGGAAAAGGAGTTACTAAGTTGGAGAAGTTGGGTGTGGTTGATTCCAGGGCCACGAACTTGGAACTAAGACTCCCCAACAATTAGTCCCAGCCCTTTGAACTAGGGACCATCCTGGCTGATAACTGTGGCAGGTTTTCCCCAACCCAGCCTCCCAGAGCTTTGGGCCCTCTCCTTGGCCCTGCCTACCCCATGTCTCCACAGCAGAGCCCAGCTTCCCTGGCCACTTGAGAAGATGCAGGCAGTCCTTGGGAAAAGCAGCATGGCTGCCTCCAGCACCTGCCCTCTGGTGGTTACAGGGAGGAGTCGCTTATTTCCTGTCCATCTACCCTCACCCTTGTGTCCACACCAACCCTGTGTTCCAGACCATTTCAAGGCAGCAGTCTGGTCAGGATTCTCCCAGGTACGCTCACCTCATCCCCTGCTAGTCCCGAGTTCCTCTCACTTCCCTATTCCCAGCTCTTCTGTGGCCTTGGAAACCTGAAGCCAGTACTGCCCACTTCCCACTCCAGGAATCGTCCTTCTGTTACCAGACAGGGGCCTGATCCTGAGCGGGTCTGCCTACGGTTGAGTGTACTGTGTGGGTTCTTGACTTCATGTAGGAAAGATTTCACACGAGTCCAGGTGACCAGTGAAACTGGGGACAATGAAACAAGGACAGGCTTAGCAAAGCAGGAGCAACAGGAGATCCTGGGCTGGGCTGCTTTAGCTCACTGGGAAGTCAGAGAAAAAGGGGCCTTGGGACCAGCTGGGGCCAAGCACCAGCTGCCCACTGCCTTAACAGTTTAGGGGACAGGTGCCTGTGAAGAAGGAAGTGGAGGAAGAAGGGAGAGGAATGACGGGATGCTTCCCAGAAGGAGCCCTTGCTGGGTCCTGTCTTCAGGCTTTTAGGCGCGCTCGCGCTCTCGCTCTCTCTCTCAGGCAGGAATCTTGGGGAGCATCTCGGGAGGGTTTCAGCAGAATGTTCATCTGTTCTCCAGATGTGCCCTTTTAGGGTCATGGTCTCCACTGATTGGTCAGTGCAGTTGGTTCTGGATTTGACCACCTGGTTTTGCTGTTTCAGGGCCTGGAGCTGAATACTGCTGAGGCCTAGCTGTTATCTCCAGGGAAGGAAAGATTACCCTGGGGGCGAGGTCCTCATTTTCCCCAGTTCTGCCCCCTGCCAGGTCTTCTACCATCCGCACCTGGGTGTAAATTGCTTGGCCATGGTGTCCAGCTGTCTCAGTTTCCCTCTTCCACCCACCAATTCTAGGTGCTGAGACAGAGCCATGCACCCTGCATGCTTTTAGGATGGAAGAACCCTTTTATGGGAACCTGTGGTTGGTGTCCTGGAGCCCCACGGGGGTGGCAGGGTGGGGGGTGGGGGCATCGGAAGACCAGGAACAGCACCCGGGTAATTACCAGGAAGGTCGGTCATGAACCCTTCTCTGCCCTCTGTGCCTCTTCTGCGGATGCCGAGGGTCAGGGCCCAGCAGAGAGGACTGCTGGCAGTGCTTTGTTGGCAGCACTTCAGGTCCAGACCCTGCTGAGAGTCTGGAGAGATGGTGGAACTCCAGGGCTTTGGGGGGGAGGGTCCTGCCCCCAGTTGCCCTCTCCCCTGGAGAACTGAGGAAGAGGATGCTTTTTCAAAGGCAGCAGCAGGATGGTGCCTGCAGGTTAACTCCCTCATGCAGGTGGTGGCCAGGGGCCTCGGGGTCCAGGACGACACCTGGGGGGCCCTATGCCTGTACTGTTCACCACTGGGACACTATGACATCAGGCCCCAGGAGACGAGCTGCCTTCAGCTCCAGAGGGGGATCTGAGAGGAACAAGGAGGGTGGACGCTGCTCTTCAGTCCACAGGAAGGCTGCACCAGGAGCACCTGACCCCACAGAGAACCCTCAGGGGTCTGCCCTGCCCAGCCCGGGCACCATCCCTGTGCCAGACACTCCTTTCTCCGTGTTCTCCGTGGCTACCCCTGGGTTCAGTCCTGCCCAGTAAGGCCCAGCCACACTGGGTCACTGTGACCTTGAAGGCAGCTGCAGGTGCCAGCTCAGTTCTAGCAGTTGCCATGGCAGCTAAGTAGTTTTGCAGAATCCTTGAGACAGGCAGCTGCTACTGCCCCTAAGGGTATCAGGCACCTTCGGGGGCCCTGGGGCACTTCTTTCCAGTCAGGGTAGGGCAGTCCTAGCAACCTGGGCTGTGGAGTGGGATACCCCATGTCTCCCTGGAGCACCTGCCCTCCCCTCCCTCTGGCCTGAAAAAGTGACAGACTGGTTCCAGGCATCGTAGCACCCTCTCCAACCCCCAAATACTAGGAGCCAGAGAGGACCAAGGAAGAAGTCTCAGTACTTCCCTTCAGGGTCTCACTGACTCATCATCCAGGTAAGGCCAAGTTCTTGGGAGTCCACAGCTCAGTTCTCTCCAAGCAGCATCCTCCCAGTTTTGCCAGCTGACTCATGCAAGGTCAAGGTAGAAACCACAAGCCCTGCCCAGCTCTACTCAATACCAGGAGCTGGGGCCCAATCGGCCTGTGCATTGAGGGCATGATGGAAAGTGTACAGCCCAGAGGGGCTGAGACCCCTCTGCCCCCACCACAGTTGGGCTGGTCACACCCTCCAAGTCACAGCCTCATCAGCTGCACTGAGACAGAGTGGTCCCGGTCGGAAATGGTCCTTTTAATGCAGAAAATCAAAGATAATTTACAAATGAATCACTTCATAGGCCCAAGCTGAGGGGCTGTGAGGGCAGAAAGGAGTTGGAGGCCATTGAGTCAGGGACGATGACATCAGTCAGCACCTTCGTGACAGATCCTACCCAGGCTCTCGCATGCCAGGCGAGTCCTGGTCCCTGGCCCCTCGAGAATCCTGCTAGTCTAACCCAAGTGGGTGGACTTGGGGAGACAGGTCCTTAGAAGTGAGGGCCTGGAAGGCCAGGGGAAGAACACGGCTGCTGGCTGCTTGCCCCTCCGCACAAGCCAGAGCATGGAGCCCTAGTCGGACTGAGGTTTAGGAAGGGGCTATTTGATCGACTGGGCTTGGAACAAAGGACCTCAGATGAGGCAGCTGCTAGGGAACTGTCAGGCTCCCCACCGCAAGGTGTTTACATCCATCTGTCAGAGCTGGCCTGGTGCTGGTTTGGGCTCAACACCCCTACGGGGCCTGTGGGGAGATGGGCTGGAGGCTCAGGGCACTGGAGGTAGAAAGGAGCCCTCCCACCTTCCCCCTCCCCAAGCCAGGAAGGTCAAAGACACCTCCAGGCAGCCCAGATCCCAGACTGGCCTGGGGCCAGGAGCCCTGGACTTCAGGGTGGTTGTGGTCTGAGCTCTAGCTGGCTGCAGGCACTTTCCCACAAGTCAGGCCAGACAAAGAGGCCCCCAGAGCAAGGTCCATCAGTCCTTCCAAACGAGAGAATGTGGTCACAGCAGCGCCCGCTGGGGGCTGGTGGAGTCTTCTCCCAGGATACCCACCTGTCCCCTCGCCCACCTTGTCCAAGGGTATGGACCCCAGAGCAGAACCAAGCCCTAGAAAATCAGCCTTCCAGTCAGAGATGGCTAGGGGAGTGAGGGGGCAGCTGGTCACTTTGGCATCTCCAAGGCAGACACTTGAGGTTTCACCGTGAAGTACTGGTTGAATCGGATCACTGCGTACCTGCCAGGAGACAAGAAAGAGAGCTGAGGGACTCCTGGCAGGAGCAAAGCTTCTCACCAGCTCAGCCCATCTAGGTCTGTGCAAGTCAACACCAGCACAGGGTGAGTTTTTTTTTTTAATGCAACTATAATTTAATTTTTCTTCTTAGAGCTTATTAGACCAACCCTTCCCCATACAAGGTTATTTTTAAATTTTCACAGTTGAGTATTGCTAAGTGCGTTTACACTGCTAGGCAGCAGATACCTAGGTCTCTTCCATTTGGCAAAACTGAACTTTGGACCCTTAAAGAGCAGCTCCCCATTCCCCCTCCCATGCCCCCACATTCCACTTTGTTTTCATAAATCTGATTTAGTTTCTTCACGTAAGTGGAATTGCAATTTTGTCTTTTTGTAGCTGGCTTATTTCACTTGATACAATGTCCTAAGGTGCATCCACACTGTAGCATATGACATGATTTCCTCCCTTTTTAAGAACGAATGATATTCTGTTGCATGAGTTTACCATTCATCCCTCCATGGACGCTTGGTTACGTCCGCCTCTCGGCCGTTGTGAGTAATGCTGCCGTGAGCACAGGTGCACAGGTGTTTTCTTTGAGACCCTAATTTCAATTCTTCTAGATATATACCCAGCAGCGATATTGCTGTATCATACAGTAATTCTATTTTTAATTTTTTGAGGAAGCACAGTATTGTTTCACCAACAGTGCACTAGGGTTCATTTCCACATCCTTGCCAACACTTGTTACTTTGTTTATTTGATAGCAGCCATCCTAATGGGTGTGAGGTGGTAACTCAGTGTGCTTTTGACCTGCGTTTCTCTCATGGCTGAGAACACTTTGAAAGCCAGGTGATCATTCCTTTTTGGCTAAGGGTGGATGGGGAGGAGACTGGACCAGAATGAAGAACAAAATAATTCCTGATCTTTAGAGACATAGGAGGTGGGGAGCCCCCCAAAAAACTGGAATTATCTTCTAGAGGGCAGGCCCCTGGTAATATAGGCTTCCCCCACTAGGTAGGTGAGTGTTCTAGGCACCCGTCTGTATCAGTACAGTAGCTGGTGTTGTGAGGACTACGTCCAGCTTCAATGAATGTTTTTTGAAGGTGCTCAGTGTGTGCGCCCATGCTGTGGTGGGCGATTTACGAGTGCACCTGCCTGTGCCTCGCTGAGTGTTCAGCAGGTTCTGACCAGAAAGGGCATGACTCCCATGTTCCACCTTCCCTATTCACCTGATCTTGCCTCCAGTGACTTTTTTGTGTATTTCCCTGGATGAAGAAAGTCCTCAAGGGGAAAGGTTTTGCTGATGCGGAAGAGGTGAAACAGAAATAGCAGAATCACTAAAAGGCATCAAAATTGAGGGATTCAAACAGTGTTGAGCAGTAGAAAGTCTCAATAGGTGCACTGCATCAGATGGATGCAGTACATCTGCCACACGGGACTTTTAAAGTGACTGAAGTTTAAACACGTAAGAATAAATACACAATTTTTATAAATAAATTAGTCTTTTGGGCCCCTCCTTGCAATGTACCTCACACGATGCGTGGCCCCCTTTCCTGCCAAGGAGTCAGTACTCAAGTACGGTGTCAGTATAGCTCGTACTGTGTCGCTAGGGGGCCCCTGAAGGAGGAGTTGGGCCTGACACTCCTCTCAGTAGCACTAAACCACCGACCGACCTCAGCGAGTCACTCCCACTCTCTGGGACGCTGACTTCTCAGCTATAAAATGAGGGCCAGGTCTGTGATCTTCCAGACTGACTTGTGGCCGTTCCATTCACCACTGAGCCCTATGGGTGAGGGCTCTGGAGTCTCGGGAGAAGACAGGGAAAGCATAGCCTGCCTCCGGGCAGGCAGGGCGGCGTGAGAACATCAGGCTCCTTCAGAGCGCTGCTCCCCTAGAGTGGTGACCCCGCTGGCCACGGGCAGGGGATGAGTGGGCAGAGGAGTGGACTCTGGACATTCTATTTGAGCTGTCCTTTGCCCCCACACCCTCAGCTGTTCCTTTTCTCCCCCTGCCCCACTCTGGTCCCAGTTGTCCTGGGTGCTCACCTGAGGAAATCAAAGGTGATGGTGGAGAACTGGTTCTGGATGAGGGCCCAGAGTGCCCATAAAAAGTGAGATGCCTGGAAACAGAGCAAAGAGGATCAGCACGGTGACCCTCCCAAGGCTGTCACGGGCCCCATGGAGCTGGAGGGACGCAGTCGCACTGGAAAACAGAACTAGGCCTCCCCAGCACAGGTTGGGGAGATTCAGTTCAAGTCACTTGTCAGCATTTGGGGACGCCCTAGAAACAAGCAAGCAGAGTTGGTTCTACCCGCGCGGGGGGGGGGGGCGGTCAGCAGGCTGGTGCTTCCAGGACTTGGCTTGTGTCCCAGGCCAAGAAGAATTTCACCTCTGGCTTCTCATACCAGGGCATCTCCTCGAGTCTTCAAGGCCAGCATACCCAGGGGGAGATGAACTTCCAAGCCAGAGCCCAGGCCCACTGACCAGAGGCACCCAAGTCATCCCAGGTTCCAGAAGCCAGAGAGCCAGGCTTCTTGCTGCCCCCAAACAAACAGCAGTGACTCCAACACTTCCCCTGGCTGGTGTCCCCCCCCCACTCCAAGTCCTGCTTACTCTCAGGTGAACTCTACAGTACCTCCCTGCATTTTCTGCTTTTTCGGGACTTAAAGGAAGCACAGATCAATGAGCACGTATGAATGATGACTAAAAAATTTAGCAAGAGAAAGGCATTAGGTGGAACAGTTAAGAGGAAGAACCTGAAAGAGAATCAGCTTTGTGCCAATGAGGAGACTAGAACAGGTAATCCAAAATCCCAGCTCCATGATGATGTGTGAAATTCAGGGCAGCTCACTGATCTCTTGTGTGTGCATGGCTGACATTAATAAGACAATCGCTGGGCACACACCAGTAGAGACCTGGCATGAACCATGTACCTTGGATAAGTGGCATTCAACTAAGGAACTGACAAGACAGCCCTGGCTGACGTGGCTCAGTGGACTGAGTGCTGACCCGCGAACTGAAAGGTTGCTAGTTTGGTTCCCAGTCAGGACATGTGCTTGGGGTTTGGGCCAGGTCCCAAGTTGTGGGGTGTGAGAGAGGCAAATGATGAATATATCTCTCGTACATCAATGTTTCTCTCCCTCACTTTCTCCCCCCCCCTCTAAAAATAAATAAAATCTTTTTTAAAAAAAGAAAGAAAAAGAAAACTGACAACACAGCAACTGGAGCAGGAAGAGCCGGGTGGGAAGGACTTACAAGGAGTCTGAGTCAGCAGAGGAAGCTAACAAGGAGGATTAAGCTGACATTCTCTATCTCCTCCAAAGGTTTAAAAACAAGAAAAAGAAGAGAAAAAAGAAGGGATGTGTTTAACTGTAGCATGAAAGGCTAAGATTAGACATTAGAAAGAACTACTTGTCCAAATGAAAGACCTGCTAGAACAGTAGCTGAGATCTTTCCTGGAAGGAAAAAAGTTTGATTTCCTCAAACTTTTCCAGGCTCTCCCTTTCCTAGACCTGCTGGGGTGGGGAGAAGCAGGAAACAGGGCATCTTAGTATCAGGGGACTCCCAACACGATTCTTCCCAGATCTCATCTCTAGTCTGGGGTTCAGGAGCACATGGCAGGGTTTCCCAGGAACTCACACCTGACCCTGGGCTCTGCTTTCTCCTCCACCACAAGGCTGTGGGAGGGCAGGAGCTGGGGGTGGGGCCGCACCCCACCTCCTGGCTCCTCCCCCTGCCCCCTACCAGTCACAAGCACTCACCAGGGCAAACTTGTTGACTTGCACATAGAGCCTCTCCACCTCCCTAGAGGTCACGGCCATCCCCTTTTGTGCCTGCAGGTAGTAGCGCAGCCACTGCAGCTGGGTCTCCCGAGCTGGGTACCGGCAGTAATCGACTTCATTCACACCTGATGGGGAGGCAGCAGCACAGAAGTTGCTGAGAGATGGCCCACCCGGGGGCCGCCTCCAGCTCAGGTATCCCCTGCTTCACTGAAAACCTCAGTCTGCTCTGCCCTGTGGGCTGTGCCTAGGAATGCAGCTTGTCTTGATCACCAATAATGTGTGAAGGGTCAAGCCCCACCCCAACTGAGGACACTGAGAAAGACAGACTGGTTGAGGGGAAGGGACAGTCTTGGGAGTGACAGGGTCCCCCCAAGCACCTCTGTCTCCCCTGTGCCCTATATAAAACTGTGTCACATAGGAGGCATTTGGGCACAGCACTGAATCAGGCCCTGGTGGTCTTAGGTCCAGTACTAACCTTGGACAAGCCCTTTCCTCTCACTGACAACACGAGGAGGCTGTGTGTCTTTCAAACACTGCTTCTCGGGCCAGTGTTGAGCTGGCTACTTAAAAATCACCAGGAGAACTTGGTAACAACATATATTCCAAGGCTTCTGCCCCTAACCCAATTTCCCGATGACTGGGAAACAGGTTTGGAAAGCCTGGTCTGGACAGCCTGGACCCCTCTAGTCCCGCCCTTCTCTGAGTCCTCAGGCTGCCAGGCCAACACACCCCAGCCCCATCCTGGGCGCGGTGGCAGAGGCAATGGCTTCAGAGCTGGTACATAAAGCAGCAGTTCATTTAAGACAGAAGTAGAGCTGGACCACCCTCCCCAGTCTCTTCCTCTCTCCTTTTCTTTCTGTCCTTACCAAACTTTCCTTCTATTTTTAGAGAAACACACTCAGGCTCCTAGGGCCCCAAGAGTATGGCTGGGAAGAACCTCCTTGTGCAGACGTATAAACTAAGGCCAAGAGAGAAGAAATTTGCTCCAGGTCACACAGCCAGTTGGGGGTGGGTTCAGGGTTGGAACCCATCTCCCAGCACCAGGTCTCCTTGCTCCAAAAAACCTGGAGGTCCCGCTCCCTAGCTCCCAGTCTCCTCCCTCGTCCTCCTTCCATGTTCAGTTCTCCTTTATTCTCAACTTAAGACCAGGATGCCATCTGACCCTCTGGAGAAATTCCAGCTGGATTTCACTCTGTATGGTGGGTGAGGGACTTAAAATACTTAAGAATTATCCCTTCTGGAAAGGTGAGTCTGGCTGCTGAGCATGCACGGGCTCAGTGCCCTGCTGGTGCCAGTCTCATCTCTGTGTCACCCGCGCAATTTGGCTGCTCTGCCCAGTGGAGGCCCCATGGTCCCTCAGGGTCTTAAATGCAGCTGGTGGCCACCCCAGGGAGCCATACCCTTAGGTATGCACAGGTGGGGGCTGACCTTGGCCTGCACCACCTGGGAAACACCAGGTCCAGTGCACCCAGTGGACAGCTACAGACCATGTCGGAGCACCACCACCCTGCCCCTGCACTGTTGATTCTCAACAGAGTGCAGAGGTTGGTGGTCATTGGTCACAGCCAGTCCTTGACCCTGACCAACCTGGGTAAATCACTCACACTGACCTGCCAACAGCAACCAAGACTCAACCAGAAGAAGAGGATGAAGTCAGCCCACATGAAGGGCACACCTTGAGTACCCAGCCTGGGTGATAGGCGAGGCTGTGCTATGGGACCCTACAAGTCACCTGCTACATTAGGCCAAGACACAGAGTCAAAAGCAGCTCTACCTACTACATAGAAACACAGGGAGGCTGCCAAAATGAGGAGACAAAGAAACATGGCCCAAATGAAAGATCAGATCAAAACTCCTGAAAAAGAGCTAAACGAAATGGAGATAAGCAGTCTATCAGATACAGAGTTTAAAACACTGGTTATAAGGATGCTCAAGTGAGGACTACAACCACATAAAAAAGGTCCAGTCAGAGATGAAGTGTACACTATTTGAAATAAAGAACTATTTACAGGTAAACAACAGTAGAGTGGACGAAGCCGAGAATCAAATCAATGATACGAAACATAAGGAAGCAAAAATCAACCAATAAGAAAAAAAAAAGAAAAAAGAATCCCCCCAAAATGAGGATAGTATAAGCAGCCTTCAAGAGACCCAATATTCGCATCACAAGGGTGAGAGGAGAAGAGAAAGAGCAAGAAATTGGAAATCTATTTGAAAAAATAATGAAAGAAAACTTCCCTAATTTGGTGAAGGAAATAGACATACAAATCCAGGAAGCACAGAGTCCCAAACAAGATGGATGCAAAGTGGCCCACTCCCAGACATACGAGAATTAGAATGCCAAAGGTTAAAAATAAAGAGAAAATTTTAGAAGCGGCAAGAGAAAAGTAGTTAGTTACCTACAGGGGAATTCCGATAAGACTCAGCTGATTTCTCAAAACAAACTTTGCAGGCTGAAGGGATTCAGCAAGAAATATTCAAAGCCATGAAAAGTAGGGACCTACAGCCAAGATTGCTCTACTCAGGAAAGCTATATTTTAGAATCAAAGGGCAGATAAAGAGCTTCCCAGAGAAGAAAAAACTAAAGTAGTTCATTATCACCAAACCATTATTCCATGAGATGTTAAAGGGACTTATTTAAGAAAAAGATCAAAGTTATGAACAATAAAATGGCAAAAAATACAAATCAATCAACAATTTAATCTAAAAAAACAAACTAAGCAAACAAGAACAGAGACAGAATCATGGATACAGACAGCACTTTGATAGTTACCAAATGGGAGAGGGGTGTGGAGAAGAAATGGGTGAAGTGAGGGGATTAAGAAGCACAAATAGGTAGTTACAGAATAGCTGTGGGGGTGTAAAAGTACAGTACGGGAAATGGAGGAGTCTGTAGAACTATACGCGTGACTCGTGGGTGTGAACAGTGGTGTGAGGACTGCCTGAGGGAGCAGGGCGTGTGGGTGGTGAGGGCCAAAGGGGGAAATCAGGACAACTGTGACAGCGTGATCAGTAAAATGTAATTAAAATTTTTCTAAAATATAAAGTTGTGGAGTCAAGTTGCAGAGGGCGTACTTTTAAGTAATTCCACCTAGATTATTTTCATGATGCTACTAGGCAAGTAGCTACTTACAGCTTGTTCTGCTCCTTACCTGCATGCTGGGCCCTTATTTACAATTGTGCAGGTTGTGTTGGGCATAAAGAAGTATGGACAAGGGGGTAAGTGGAGGCTGAGGTTGTCCCACGCTGGCCTGCCTGGCATTCACTGCATGTACTCAGAGGAAAGGGTCTTTTTCTAACTCACATGCCAAACTAGTAGCCTCAGGGATCCTATAATGGGCACATTCTCCTAATTCGTACCAAACTGCCATACTGGCAAGCAGGAGTGTGCTCTGCATAGGTGGGTCCTGCCTCCCCAAGAAGACCTGAAGCTATCTCAAGGCAGACTGTCTTCCTCCCTCGAGATGGGACATTTCAGAGGACAGGGGCTGTCTAGCCTCTATCCCCCAAGTACAGAACCTCCTCTCATGCTCTCCTTGATCTGACTGTCCATCATAAGGAGAGTATCTTGAGCACAGGTCAAACAGTAATGCCCCCTCACCTGCAAACTCATTGAAATGATTGCCAATGTCAAAAGCTTGGTAGTTGTAGCCGGCATATTCATAGTCGATGAACCGTACGTGACCTATATGAGGTAGAGAAGAAGCAAAGGTGGCTGGTCCCAGCAGACCTGGACAAGCCTGGTCAGACTTCCACAGGCCTCTGCAATTTACTCACTGCCTCTGGCTGCGCCCCGTAGCCACCTGGCCTTCCCCAACCTCCTCAGCAGCAATCTTCTGAGCTTCCATCTGTCTGTCCCTTTGTCCAGCTCCACCTGTCCTTCTCACACAGCTAGATCCTTGGGCCCTCCTCATCTAAAGATGTGTGCGCTCAGCATGGCTGAGGACTGGAAATAAAGCAAAAGGTTCCCTGGGAGAAGCTCTCATCTGGGCGGCCACAGGTTTCCCTCTAGGAAGGCTCAGAGCGGCAGCGAGGGGTTGGAAGCCCAAAACATTGTCAGGGGGAGTGGCTGGGATGCCCTAATGTTCAAAACCTCCTCAAACTATGACTGAGTTCTTTCTTGACCTGGACTTTTCTAAGTGGGAATGTTTCCTTTTCCATTTCTCTCCTACAGATTAACTTAAGACCTAAGCCAAATGGTCTCTTGCTTGTCCAACTACCAGCCGCAGGAACAGAACCCTGCCGGGCAGCCAGGACCAAAGAAGCCGTACCTTTGGTGCTGTCATAGATGATGTTCTTGCAGAGCAGGTCATTGTGACAAAACACCACGGGGGAGTCCAACTGGGACAGGTGCTCCTTCAGCCAGGCCAGCTCGCGCTCCAACACCTCTATCTTAGGGACATCTGTGGAAAGGCTGCACGGTGGCGAGAAAGGTGGCCGGTGGAGGGAGGGTTGATAGTAGACGGGAAGGTGCTTGGTCTCAAAAGCCCTGAGCTCTGGCCTCCTCACTACCTCTTACTGCAGAGGGACCTTGGACAAATGGCCAATCTTTTGTCATCTGCAAAATGGCACTAAGGTCTCCCATCCTTCTGATGTGCTGTTTACTCTAAGATGATTAAAACACTGGCTTAAAAGCATTTTGCAAAGTACCCAAATCCCTGACTAAACAGTGTCCCTGCTACTTTGTGAAAGGGACAGGAAGGTAAGGGAGGAGGCGCAGAAGAGGACTGGAAGGCGAGGATGAGTGTCCAAACTCACTTATCTCTGGCGAAGAGCATAAGGGCAGCAGGGCGGCCCTGGGAGGGGCTGGAGCGCTGGTGCTCTCCTGAGGAGGAGGAGGGTACGTCCTGGTCTGTCTCCCTCATGCTCTCACAGCTAGTGTCCCAGACAGATCACAGGGTTTAACTTCGTATCTCACAGACCACTCAGGCCCACATACAGAAGCAAAGAGGTTGTTTCTTGGACTCACTCCTTCAAGGCCAAGGGGACATTTGGGCCATTCACTGGGAAAGCACTTGCTGTGTAGCTCCCTAGTATGTTGTCCCTTCCACCTTGAACTAGGAGTGTGTGTTTCCTTGTCCCAGCCCCCTGCCAGACTGGCTGTGGGCAACTCGAGGGCAGAAACAAAGATGCACAGAGGCCACTCAGCCCCACCCCATCCCACACCACACACAGGCACTGCTGCTGAAAGAAATTCGTGCTGACAGATGAACAAACGGCTCCATCAGAAGCCACAGGGACGCTGAGGAGGACACACTGTGTGCAGAGGCTCTGAACTGTGGTCCCCAGGAGGCACTGGTCTGTGCACACTGAGAAGCCAGTCAGCAGAGCCCTTAAAACTAAGAACCACTGATGGGAGGAGGGGACAGGCCTGGGGTTTTATCTCCGCTCATGTATCTCCTGTTTGGTCTCTTGCCCAGGGCAGTGAGAGCATGTGCAGGGTGACGAGAACGTGATGGGTCCTCCTGATGCTCCCATGGGACAGCCCGGCTGCCCTCTCCCCAGCCCGGAAACCAGAATATTCAACGATTAAGGTGTCCCCATGTGCCCCCTGGAAAAGAACAAGTGGGAAGCTTCCTCACAGGCTTCAGAAGGTCAAAGCCAAGAGATCTTAGGTCTCTAGTCCAACCCCATGGGGAAACTGAGACTCAAGAAGGGCGGAGTCTTCCTTGTAGCCTCCAGATGTCTCTTGCACAGCTGGACCCTCTATTTCCTAAGGAAAGTAGTCCTAGGCTCATCCAAGAGTCTGCAATCAAGACAGTCCTCCTAACCACAAGGCCCCGGCTGCCCTGCTCAAAGCTTTGCACAGGCCACTCTGAGTTCAGGCACTGTCAAGGGCTGATCTGAGGGAGGCCTCCCACCTCTTGCCCCCACGCCATCCTCACTGGAGTTTATCTGTATCGACAGGACTGCATAAAATGTATTTTCCTCTTGGCTCTCCTTAAGAAGCTACCTCTTCTTTTAAAATTCTTTTTTTTTTTTCTTGGACTGAGACCATCCAAAGATAAGAACTGGGAGACTTCGTTTGGTTTGCCCAGGTCTCAGCCTGGAAAAAAAAACACACATGGCTTTGACATCCTGGATGCCTGCTGCCCAGGCCCTGACCTCTGTCTGACCCCCACACTACCCACCCCAAGGCCACGCAGATGGTTACTGTGGAAACAATCCCGAGCTTCCCCATCCCTCCCCCCACACCTGGAACATCGCCAGCAGGGCTCCCCTCAGCCCTGACACCACCATACTCTCCCAAGGTTGTGGGGTGGGTGGAACAGTCATCTCAGAAGCTTTCACACGGCAGGCAGAGCCGCTCCTCTGTCCTGCCAAAGCAGCAGGAGCAGGCTGAAGGGGCCTGAGGAAGGGACTGCCGCCTGGCAAGTGGCCACTCAGCTCTCGGGGTCAGAGTGGGGAAAGATGGACTTTTCCAAGTGTTCCGGCTTACGTGGCCTGGCCCTATCTGAGTCTCCTCTTAAGGGCCCCGAAGCCATCATCAACCCTGCATCCTTCTGGCCACCCTGGATGCCACCATACTTACCCAAACACCTAGGCTGCCACATCCATTCCCATAAGGTCTCTGAGTCAGCTCCCATGAAGCTGCCTAGGGCAGTATCCCCCCAAAATGGTTCCTTGATCCCCTGCCTCAGAATCACCAGGGAAGTCTGTGAAATGCAGACTCCTGGGGTCCGGTGTGAGACCTCCCACCACTCTCCAGGGTCACACCGGGAGCCTGCACTTAGCAAGCACCCAGGGGAATCTCACGCTCAAATCTGGGGAACCCTAGTGCTGGATGTTGCCCATTCAATTTCAATGCTCCTCCAGCTGGTCTCCCCACCTCCAACCCCCACTTCTCACTCCCACCACAGGTCAGGTTACTGCGCTGCCCTGAATCTGAGGCTCATACACTTTCACAATTACTTTCCACTGCTGTGAAACTGAATCTTCATTCCTTAACTGCCATCAAAGACCCCTCACTACTGAGCTCCAGTTCACATGACTCTGCAGCTCTGTCTCCCTGCACCCCTCCCAAGCCCTCATGGAGATCTGCTCCAGCCAACTCAGCTACCCAGCATCACGCCTCCCAGCCACAGCGCCTCCCTCCCATCTCCGCCAGGAAGACATTCCCTGGTTCTCCAACCCCTGGCACTCTCTACACACCTGCCTTCTTCTATGGCTCTGCATGGGCAGGTCCTCTCTACCCAGTTTCTAAGCAACTTATGGGCAGGGCCAACATCACCTTTGTGTTCTTTACTGTTTTAAATCCCAATCAATTAGCGTTTGTGAAATGGAGGATGGACTAAATTAGGGTTATTAGGCAGGGTTACTATGAAACTTAGGTGCTTCCAGTGATTGCTCCCCACAGCCTGCTTTCGGGCAGGGGAGGCCATTCAGGGCGGCCATCATCCCCCAAAGAGGCTCAAAAAAGCCTAGCAATTTGATTTGTCCAAGGTCAAAGGTATGACAAAAACAAAGGGAATTGGTCAGTTCTTCTCCAGAGACCACTCCCCTCCCAACAAGGCCACCCCCCACCCCCAAAGGTTACACAGTGACTGCAGAATCAAAGAAAGCTGTAGTAGCAGGGTTTACACCTGAGCATCACACCTGAATTCTAGTCCTTGAGCTGCCACTGATAGCAATGACCTTGGGGCAAGTCCATCCCTATGATGGGCCTCAGTTTCTTAATCTGTCAAATAGAAGTGGTAGGCTGGGGGATGGGAGGGCCCTGTCGGTTCAGGTACCAGAGGACTCTGCTCTCTGTGCTGTTCTGGTCCTAAGGCACAAGGCAGTGCTCGTCCCAGAGATAACACCCGACACAGAAGGTCTACACGTGGGCCACGATGGTCCAATAGCCCCAAAGCAACGCTTGGTAATCCTTAAGTGGGAGGGTCCGGACAGGGCCATCGTGTGTGGGAGAGTGGGAGGGAGAGTGGGAGGGAGAGTGGGAGGGAGCTCCTTACTGTCTTGTCATCTCTGAGGAGCTAAGGAGATATCCTGCCCCAAACCTGTGTAACCCACTCCCAGGAACATGGGAACATGGGCATTCATGCCTTTGTGGAGGGGACAAGGTGACACCTCTTTCTCCATTGCCCCCACTGCTGTCTCAGCACTCAAGGCTATGCTGGTGAGTCAGGTTTCCGAAGACTAGAAGGGCTCTCGGGTTGCTAGCCAGAGCATGTAGGGGTGGTTCCGGAAAGCCTGTCTTATCTGGGGAAAGGTGACGTCAGGATGGATGAAAAGAGCTGAGAGGAAACAGCAAGCTGTCAGCGTGAACAAGGTGGAAAGCAGGGTCCGGAGGGGCATGTGGGGATGAGTGGCATCCAGGCCAGTAGCAGGAGTCTTGATGTCCCAAGGGCTTGTCCGTAGATGAACTGACTTCTGAATGACTGTGACTCAGCCTCACCCCGTTCTCAGAGGGCAGGGCCCTCCCTTCTCATGGCTCCAAAGGCAGCTCAGGTAGACAGGGCCCTGGGCTGGGAACAGAAGCCCTGCCTCTGACTAGCCCCCAACACTGGGCAAACCTTAGTCTCTGAGCTCCAGTGTCCTCCAAGTAAAATGGGGAGATGCTGTCCCTGACCCTAGGCCCTGCCGTAATGTCAAGACTCAAGGAGAAATATGCACATGAGTCTAAAGCTATGGGTCTAAGTTCCTCAGATTTTCTCAACTGGCCCAACTCTTCTTGGAGACAGAGTCTCTGTAATCAGGACTGAAATCCCTAAACCTCCTGTGCGTGGGGTAGAGTGAAAGAAAGAGGAGTAGGATCACATTAAGGTGGGAGAGACAGTGGCAGCCTTGAACCCTCCCAGATCTTTGTACCTGGGGTTGATCTCGTTCTTCACAAGGGTGAAATAATTGTGCATCTTGTGCCAGAGGATGGGCTTGGGCAGGCTGCCGTTGGTGTGGATGGTGTGAATCTTTGCCATTTCCAAGGCGATTAGCCTACAGCACAAAACAGGAAGAGTAGGGTATCAGTGTGGGTGGGGCAGGCCCTGCCTGCTCAGCCCTTCCAGACCAGAAAGCAGCCCTACACTGTCCATGAGAGGCTGGCTGGGGGGCAGAGTGTGGGATTATCATTACAAATCTTTTAAGAGCTCTTCACCTCAGCAGAAGGCAAGAAGAGGAGATATGGCCTTTAGCCTAGCAGCTCCCTTTCCAGAGCCAGAGTTGGGGCTGTTTCAGGTAGCAGAAGGGTAAAGCAGTGGGCTGTTGGTCACAGGCCAATGACCCTGCCCCATGCTAAGGTCATGTGCCCACAGCAATCCCTGAAGACAGACGAGTCACCAGAGGATAGGGGCGGTACCTCTCCTCCCACCTTGGACTCTGACCCATGCCCTCAGGGGGAGGTGAATGCAGGACACCAAGGGATTGGGAGGTGGCAATGCCAGATAGGTAGAAATGCCCACCTCTTATCAGTCTGGCCAAGGTGGGGAGGGAAGAAGGCAGGCCCAGGGCAGCCCCTTCCTCTGGCAGGGAGTTGATGATGCTGGCGGCTGGGTGCCAAGGACGCAAAACAAACCAGTGTTCTATTTTCAAGTTCTCCTGTGGACATTATCCAAGGTCCCAGGAGAGAGGGAGGGGCAGTGGGGAGAGGAGAAAGCAGCTCAGGGGAAGACTGCTGGGAGCGGGTGGGGGTTGCTGGAGGACTGACTGGTCAGAAAGGGAGGGCCTTGCTAAGGACCCTGTCCTCGGAGGCCCTGGGTCCCAGCTGGGCTCCCCCAGGCCTCTGTCAGCTCTCCCTCTGGAGCCCCACTGGCTGCCAAGCCTCCAACATTCAAGCTTCCTTCACCTCGGCCTGTTTGACTAATAATCGCCAAGAAAGACAAAAAAGGCATTGGCTGTTTGAAACCTTGTTGCCAAGCTGTTCCAGGGACACCCCCTCCCCTTGCCAGGTACTGGGAAGAGGCAGGCTATCACCCAACAAGATAACAGGGCGCTCTGGGGGCTCCTCCCCCTGACCTATGTAGGGGGCAAGGGGTGTGGCAGCAACTGAGTGGCTGGGATATGAAGTCTGTGCTTTCAGAGGCCAGAGGCCCTGGAATAGGAGGGAGTCCACTAGGGTCTGGGCAAGGCAGGAAACCGACCTGAGACCCAGGCCTTCCCTTCCCGAAGGAAGATTCTGAATAGAGCACGGACAAAGTATTTCCTTGAATATCAATAAGGTCCTTGTCTGGAATAGCAATGAAAGTTAACCTCAACACTCAGCATTTTTTATGCTGCAAAGCCTCAACAGTGAAGGTTGGGAGGTGGGGTTCAGGGCAACATGGGGAAGTAGCTCCCAAAGCCCACCCCCACCTTTCCTCAGAGAACCACCTTTACCCCAGAAAGATGATAGTCCCTCCTAGGAAAAGTACTTTGCCCAATTTCTGGCTTTCCCCCAAATGTAAAGTTTTTATTATGGAGCCTAAATCCATCTTCAATCTTTCTGATAATGGTAACTGTTTTCACAAGAGGGTGAGTGACAGGATCAGATTCATAGGGGTGGTAGAGACTGGGAGTAGTGAGGATCTGCCAATATTTGAGCTTATTTGCACAAGAGCTGGGAACAGTTGGTAGCGAGAGCCTGGCCAGGGCTCCTCAGACCTCACCCTTCCAGGCTGAAAAGCCCCTTACATGGGCTTGTATATCCCCCACCCTCAGACACAAACACCCAGCTATAATATGTAACTCAACGGAATGTTTTGGGGCCTCACCAGCTCTAGAAGCAGTGGTCAGGGCACTGCAGGGTGAGGCCCTCAGTTCCCTCCTCCTGAGTCCCCAGAGCACCCGAGAGAGGCTCCCTGCAAGGAGGACGCAGTGCACTAACTTGGGGTTAACTGCAGCAGGTGAGGGAACAAAGACTGTTGGTTTACTCTCTAGGTGGGTTTTGTTGTGGCCCCTCGGAATTTCAATGGCTTGTTCCCTGAGGTTGGGGCAGGACAGAGCCCAAAGGTCTGGGGTAGACCCCTGTGCCACTGTCCCCAGTGTCAGGAGTAATTTCAGCCCTGGGGACTCATTCTAGGCTGAGGACCCTGCACATGGCCACAGCATTGGAAGGATAAAGGTGGACCCTGCCTGACCTCCCCGCCCAGCAGAGGAAAGAGCGTACCATGGGCTCTTCTTTGGTCCTCCACCTTCCAGGCCCCACAGCCATAGTATCCAAAAGGCTTGAAGGTCCCACACATTAATCTAGGCAATTAACAGGAGTAGCTCCCTGGGGTCCATGGGTTCTGTGAGCCTATGGCAGCCTCAGCAGCTCCCCAAACCTGGACTCCCATCTTATCAGGGAGCCTGGAAGGAGTTCACACTGGGGGAGGATGCCATCTCTTTGGGCTGCTAAAACCATGTTTGACCCTATAGGGCCATTCTCCTAGCATGTCTGGACTCTTGGCAGAAAGGGAGGAGCAGGAAGCCCTGACTGCTCTGGGGATTTGGTTCGTATTTCATTTCCAAGACTCAGAGATGTTTCCAAGTCAGACTAGGGTAAGCAGAGGGCTGAGGCATGGGCCAGGAAAGGGATCCCTGCTGCATTTAGGGAGCCAGATCCTTTGGTCCCACGTTAACCGAAGTTCTCATGTGCCTCCCTTAGGAATTCATTGTGCTTTCAGCAGATCCCCACTGGAAATCTATACAAAGCCATAGTAGCTCTTCACATAGCAATGCACATAAACACACACACATTTTTCATGCAATTTCAGGGAGTTCACAGATCTATTGACTCACTCATGGACTCCACTCTATACCATGGAAGGCGGCCAAGGATTTCAAAGCCCATGGCCTGAGAAATCATAGAGATGAGCAGTACCCCTGGGCACCCTCCTCACCTGAAGAGCCGGGGCTCGCGGATGTGCTCAGGCCCCAGGGCCACGCCCGGCATGTACTCATAGCACAGTCCATTCTGGAAGGTACAGTAGAGTTTGGGGGCACAGCCGTGTGCTCGCAGCAGCTGGAAGTTTCTGACCTCATTCTCCCGGTCCACCAGCAATTCCGTCCGCTCTCCATACACCCGAACCAGCACACAGTCCCGCATGTCCTCCTCCACATAGCAAGCCACCAGCTTGTTGGTGATGCCATCGGTGAAGCGCTAGCATGGGGAAAGGGCAATGCAAGGGTGCGCGGGGCAGGACCTCTGTTCTTGCCCCATGGCTACCCCACTTCAGCACAGGTCTTGGAGCACAACCACAGGGAATCTCGTCCTTTCCCCTCTCACTTAATAAGAGCTCAGCACCGTCCCTAACACTTGGGATAGACTAGAGAGTTCTAAAACAGTGGCAGCTTGGGCTCAGCCCAGGCACCCTCACTTCTCCTGAGTGTGCCTCCAGTGCATGGGGTTTGGTGGTGGAGGAGCCTGACCACCACTTGGTGGTTAGAGGCTGTCTTCCTCTCCCTCCGCCTCCACCCCGGCTCTATAAGAAACCTCCATGGACCAGAATGTGGCAGAGGAGGATCACTCAGGATGAGTACATCCCCACCCAACTGCCTCTCACCACCTGTAGGCAGAGGGTTCTTTGCTGTCCCTCCTGCCCACGCAGGGTATTGAGGGTGGCACCCACCCCAGACCTTTGGTGGTCAGAGCTCCTTAGGGTCTCTGAGTTCCATACCAGAGGAGGTAACAGACCCTGTCTGGGAGACGAGGGTCCCCCAGGGGGTGACAAGGGGGAATGAACCATGGAATTTATAGGGCACAGTGTGTCAGAGCTGAAAGGGGCCTTAGAGGACATCTGAACTACTTCCAGGTGGGGAAACTGAAGTCCTAAGAGGAAGAAACTGACACTCGGTATGTTAGGCCAGTATTGGAATTAACCTCAGGCCTTCTTGATGCCTTGACACTTTTACTCCAAAATATGCCTTTTATTTTGAAAATGCTACCCACCCTCGGGGAGCATTTGAAAATGCTCAGCACACTTGGTCCTGAACCTCCCAGAAGGTTCATCATCAGCATGGAGCCCCTACCACTCCAGTGCAGGCTGCAGGTGCTCCCTGCCTCGGGCTGTTCCTCCACAAGCAGCTTCCAAAAGGGATGGGAGGATGGGCAGGTGCAGACTCTTTACTGAGGATGCAGGTCAGCTGGGGAGACAGCCTGAGGCTCCTCAGTGGGAAGCTCTGCCCATCTGTGTATGCCCATGTGGGGTGGGGAGGTGCCCTGTGGGGGCAGTGGGGGGGCTGCTGAGCCAGAGCCGGGGTGATGCGGAGGACTCCCACACAGCGCAGGGGCTGGCCCGAATTCCGGACAGGAGGGGCCGCTCAGAGCCTGGAGGCTTTGCTACCACCACAGGGTTGAGAAAGGGCAAACCGTGTGTGTGACTGGCGGGGGGGGGGGGGGGGGGGGCTCTTTCTGAAAAGTTCCTGCCGTCGCAGGTTTCAGAGCCCGCTGGGTACGCGCCCATGGGCAGCGGGTGGGCAGCCAGGGTCAGCTGCACCACGGACAGGAGGTGGGGCCCGCACCGCGCCTCACGCGGTCGGCGGGCAGGTGGACCTCGGGGGTGCCCGTCCGTGAGCCCGAGTGGAACGGTGTGTGTGTGTGTGAGTGTGTGAGTGTGTGTGTGAGTGTGTGTGTGTGTAGGGTACAGGAGGTGAATGAGAAAGGAAACACGCATACAAACCCCCATCTCAACCCTCCTGCACAGCAGCCGCGCCCCCGGGACCCACGCCCGTAAGGATGCGCGGTTCGACGTCCCGCATTCCCGCTTGGGTACCTTGGTCCGAACTTGCTCGGGCTTCCAGTGCGGTCGCAGCTCCTGAATGAGGCACAGGGCTCCGGGCAGAATGTCGTCCTGGTGCACAGAGATTCCGAAGTACGGGACGGCGGCGGCCCGCAGGGGGCCCGGCGACTCCCGGCGGCGCGCGCCCGCCGCCGCTCCCTCCTCCATGCCCCATGAGCACTGCGGGCCGGCAGCGGGCCTCCGCAGGTAACACGGCGAGCGCGGCACCGGCGCCGAAGGGGGCGCAGCCATTCCCAGCGGCCGCCCCCTCGGAGCCGCCGCGCGTACTCCAGCCCCGGCGGGAGGGGGCCCGGCTCGGGGCGGGGGCAGCGAGGTGGGGGAGGGGCCGGGGTCAGGCCATGACTCCGGAGCCTGCGTCCACCGCGCTCGCAGTCTCGCAGCCCGCAGCCCCACGCCGACCCGGGAACGCCGGGGCTGGCTGCGATTGTGACATCACGGGCGCGGGCCGCGGAGCTCGGGCCGCGGGAACGCCCCCTTCCCGCCCCCGCACGGCGCGGGCGGGCGGGAAGCAGCGCGGCCGCCGCTACCTGGGGTTCGGGACGGGTTGACGCCCCCCGAGGGGGCCGCGACGCCGGGGCCGTGACGCAAGGGTGGGGGGCGGGGCGGGGCTGGGGCGCGGGCCGGGACCGGGGGGCGGGGCGCGTGGGAGGCCCAGGCCCCGGACAGCCCCCGCGTGAGGGCACCACCTTCCTCTCCCCTCGTACCTGGCTTCCTCCCTCCTACCTGGGCTAGAACCTCTCTCTCTGGGGCAGGGCCGGGGGAGGGCTCCTTCTGCGCCTGCACTCCATTATGCTGTAGGGAGATGAGCCTGTGACCAAGAAGAGGTCAGCTTGGGTAGCCCACCTGTGCCCACCTCTCTGTGTCCAGTCCCTGAGCACCTGGGAAAGGCTCTGAAGCCCCTACCACATCTCAGTGGCGGTTCCTTGTACAGAAGCCCCTGGGCAAATATTCCCCACCCCCCGCACCACCACACTCGCTATGGAGAAGGAACATTGGGTGATGCATGTTAGAGGAAGGTGTGCTAAGGAGTATCTCACTCGTTACTAACCTGGGAGAGCCTTCACTGCCCCACCGAGAAGGTCCTTACTGTTTCCCCAAGTCGTCCCTTTGTCCTGCTGAGGAATCCTTCAACCACAAGACCTGATCATTATTGCTGTCCAGAATACATCTCTGAGCTCGGCCCAGAGGAATTTTTGTGGTGTTGGAAATGTACATATTGTGTTGTCCAGCTCAGTGGCTGCTAGCCACATGTGTGTATACAGGACTTGAAATATGATTAGTATGTCAATTGAACTTTAATGTAAATAGCCCTGTGTGGTTATCATATTGGACAGTGTAGGAGATGATGCAGGAGCTGCATACTTAAGGTCAGGGAGCCCCAGGATGTGGAGTTAGAAAGGGCACTGACTCCCACCCTTCTTTTTGCAGTAAGGAAGTAAAGCCAGGCAGGCAAACAAAGTCAGAGAATCCTGCTCTAGGCTCTGCTGAACAACACAGCCCACGCAGGAATGCTGCTGTACAGGAGCCCTGGGATTCCACTCAGTCTCCAGAGGCTGCCATTCCACAGGTGTGAGCTTTGCTGAGTGCTGGTTGGGCTACTCAGTGCCTCACTCTTTTTGGTCAAAAGATGGGTGAGCAGCTACCGTGAAGAGGGACAGAATCAGTGGATTCAGGTGGCTTTGTTAGCGGAGCTAGATAACCCTGCAGACAGCCCAAGGTGTAGGAGTGGGAGAAGACTTCAGCCTGTCTCAAGTCCATGAGATGCAGTGAGCAGTGCGTCTGTGTGCCTAGGAACATAGCCCCTTACCAGGATGTTGGGGGCGTTCCAGGTCCACATCATCTGCATGTGGGAAGGTAGAAAGCCCGTAGGGTACAGGCGGCAAACACAAGGCCTTCCAGCAGAATCTAGCCCTCCACCTTGTTTTATCCAGCTCAGCACCTTGTTTCTACCTGGTGGCAGCACGAAGCCTTGTCCCTAATTAAGGAGTAGTAGTTACATTTATACTGTCCTAAAATTACATTCGGCCCTTTGAAGGCAACCTCAAGGCTGATGTGGCCCCCGGTGAAAATGAGTTTGACACCCCTGCTCTAGCACCTGAGTCTTATGGGCTGGGTTTCAGTCTTGATTTTTCACACTCCACTGAGCAATGTCAGCCAAATGCCTTCCATTTTCGAGCCTGTTTCCCCATATGTAAAAAGGAAGTATCAGTCACATCTGTGGTGTGCCGTGTTTTTAGGTGACGGTGCCTTGGACTGCACTGTAAATGGCTCTGTTGGAGTGTAGGGGTGGTTGTTCGGGGTCTGCCTATTATAGGAGAGGCAAGGCTGACAAGCTGCAGCACTTGCCGCTTCAAGCTAGCACAGCAGTGCAGAGCCTGAGCTTGGAGCTGACCGGTGAGCTGGGAGCGAGCCATGACCCATGGCGTAAAGTCACAGTATTAGCCTTGGTCTTTCAGGGGCTGAAGGGGCAAGGGGCTGGCTGGCTGCAAACTTTCCACCCAAGGTCGTGTAAACAACTCTGTTTGAGCCCTGCAGGCATCGGGTGAATGTGTTTGTCATTCTGTGCCACATTCTTGTCTGCACATGATCACGTGGTTGCCCCTCCCTCTGTTTCAAACCCTAGTGGACCCAGGTGCAATAGGGCTATGAACATGAAATCTTTATTCTGTTTGTCTTCAAAGCAGGGAAGAGCTGGTGCTGGGGCAGGTCAGTGATCCAGGAGGAGCTCCACGCCCTGTACTCTAACACAAGGACACAAGCACTGGCAGGGGCAGTCCCAGAGGGGTCTCAGCTCTAGGCTAGGGCTGCGGCCCTAGCTGGGGCAGCAGAGGGCCTCAGTGGGCCAAAGCAAAGCCAATGCGATTGTTACGCCGATCAAACTCTGTGTAGAACTTTCGGATGAAGCTGGCACCCAGGACCCAGACAGGCCCAGTGGGCGGTGGGACGTCCAGACCGTGGAGGGCCAGTGTGCACAGGTCATCATCACTGTAGGGGTCCTGATGGGAAGCAAGATGGTTTCCCACTGCCCGTCACATGACCATTCTGCCCTCACTTTGCCTGACCCTAGGGAGCCTCTTTAACAATATCCCTCTTCCCCCACCCTCTCTACACTGCACCTCCGTTACATTCTAGCTCTTTCAACTCATGGTGGAAAGAGCCCCTCCTAGTTGTAGGCACTGTGCCAGACACTGGGCACACAGTGCAGCAGGCACAGCATTACGAGCTCGGGGTCTGGCAGAGCTTCTGATCCTAGGCAAGTTATTTAACATCCCTAAGTCATTGAGTGTAAAAGGGGGATTACAGGGCAGGAGCATAGCATCACTAGGAGCATTTGATGAGAAATGGAGATAAGGAGCCAGGCACAAAGATTCCTGAATTGGGCTGCACATTGGAATCACTTGGGAAGCTTTAAAAACAATGATGGCCAGGTGTCACCCCCAGAGGTTCTGATTTAATAGGTAGGGGATGTGGCTTGCTATTGGGATTTTTAAATGCTCCCAGGCAACTCTGACAGCCAAGTTTGAGAACTGCTGGCCTAGTAGGTAGTCTGTCACATGACTTGTCCCTTTTCGAAGGTTCCTGCCTACCCTTCCTGCCTGTTGCCAGGGGGCAGACCGGAATCTCACCTGTAACACGTAGTCTGCACTGGTGAGTGTGTAGGCTCTGCCTCCGAGGTGGAAGGCGATGTCAGGGAGTGTGGCCACCTGGTTACAGTTCACGACGTACTGTGGGGAGAGTTAAGGGAGGCCCTTTGAGTGTGGGAAGCCTCCCAGCCTGTGGCCTGCCCCCACCCAGGACGAAACCAGCCACATTTGAAGAGTGTGAGAGGTGAGGAAGTCAGACCTGGAATGGCCTCATTTGGGACCTAATGCTGCCCAGGGAGATTTAGGGTTCTGGACAAGTTAGCGCTCTTCTACCTCGGCACTGCCTCTCTAGGTTCTTACTTCGTCTGTGCTCAGCTCCTTGGCCCCCAGGGTCTCCATGAGCAGCCTCAGGGAGCTGGTGGGACCTGAGATGTAGGAGGCACCGGTGTCCACCACTGCCATGCAGCCCTCCTCACAGAGCAAGGTGGCTGACCTCACAGACACCCTAGGAGAGGCCATAGTCAGACAAACAGACAGACAGAAGGCTGATGAGGCACCACCAGGCTGCACAGCTTTTCTGAGTGAGGGCAGCAGATGGAAAGCCATGCTGGGAGACCAGTGATGCAGTGAAGGATGGGTAAGGCAGGACCTGGAGGAGGAAAGGCACTGGCCCCTCCCTCAGCATGTGCTTAGTGACCCTCCACCTTCTCTCAGTAGGCCCCTCCCTTCTGCCCCCCCTGTGTCAGTGTTCCCCACCCCTGGACAGAGCAGGCAGAGAGCAAATGTGGGCTGTGCCTTAAGAAGTCACTGCATTGGGGAGAGGGCAGGATGGCAACCTTGCCCCCTCCCCCTCCCCCCCTCAACAGCAGCAGCATTTTGGGAAAGTGGGAAGGGTTAGGGATATCTGACCCTTTCATTTTGATCTGCCAGGAGCCAGTCTCGCTGATGCTCACGTAGTGGAAATTCCCTTGGTAATACTGGGGGTCACTGCCTCCTAGCACAATCTCTCCCCCCAGCAAGTGGGAATTCCTAAAGGAAGGATCAGAAGTTCTTGGTGAAACAGTGACCCCAACAGCAAGGGAAGTTGGACCCAGGTGCAGTGGGGCCCAGGAAGGAAGGACAGCAAGGCTGGCAAGCTGCAGCACTCGGTGCTTCCCCACCTTTCTTGCCCCTCCCCCAGCCCAGCCAGTGGAGGTTCCCCAGTGACAGTCCAACTGCACCTGATAAGCATCTCTATGGAGGTACAGGAAGGAACAGGCACCAGGACACGCCAGAATGCAAACAAGATACAAACTGGCCCCACCTGCACTTGGTTTGTGTGGAGTTGAACAGGTATATTGGAGGGGGCTCAGGGGAGTTGTTGGGTGGGGGTGGGGGAGCATGGGCAGGAGGAGAGCAGGGAGGGGAGACCCAGTACGGCAGCATCCATCAGAGCCTGGGCCTGTGAGGAGGGTTTTGGGCAGGTGGCAGGTGTGATTCTGGGCCAGGTGCTCTGGAAGGTCAGGGCCATGTAGGGGATTTCGTCTCCTTACTTGGAATTTCTGCAGAAAAAGAGACACAGCAGAAAGGAAGCTTTTGTTTCAGGAGAGCCGCACTAGCTTGTTGCTGGGCAGGGTGGGTATTCTGCACTCTTCTTACCCCTCGGACGAGGGTGTACCAAGAGGTGAAGTCGCTTGCCTGAAGTCATCCAGGCATTGAGTGGGGTGACTGGGGACCGGGAGCCCAGTCTGAAATGGACCCCGTTGCCTTCCTGTCCTCCATTCTGCTCGGTGACTCCCACAGCTCAGGGCCTACCTTGAGGCTGTTTTCCTGTGTGTGTGTGTGTGTGTGTGTGTGTGTGTGTGTGATAGGGTTTCCAACATTCATAACAGGAGGCATGTATATATCCTTTTGTGTACACAGGTGTGTAGCTACACACATACTATTTGTGTAAGTGCTATTAATTGCATTTTCACAAATCTAGCACTCGTGGGTGTGTGCCAGCAGAAGTTCCCTCTGCCCCCTCCCAATACTTCAGTATCTCTCTGGATGTTGCCTCCGTCAACACAGTTGCCTTCTTCTCATTGCTGGATCCTCCTCCCTCCCATGGTCTCCTGGCTCCCGTGCCCTCCACCATCATCTGCTTTCCCACATTTTCAGCCCTATGCTTTCCACTGCCTCTCCTCTACCTGCAAGCATGCTCAGGCATCCTCTAGCATTTAAAAGTGCCCACATTCTCTGCTTCTCTCTTCACCTCTGGCTGCTCCCTACCTGAGATTCCCCACCTCCATGAATTTCTCAGGGCCGCCTGCCTCTGCCCTTCACTTTCTGATCCCCACAGTCACCTCTGAACTCCTTGCTGTCTGGCCTTGCTCCACCTCCAAACCAGCTCACCAGCCGCAGAGCCCGTTGTTGGGCCCTTGCTCAGTGCTTCCCTTTCTCTCACCAAACCAGACACTCCTTCGTTTTACCTTTGAGGTTTCTCTGAAGTTCGACCCTCCCCCTGCATCCTCACTGCCACCGGCCTGGTGTCCTTGCCTTTATGATTCCTGTCTCTAGCTCATACGGTCTTTCTAAACCCAACCATTTAAAGCTGACCACAGCTGGCAATGGCTACCCCAAGTATGGCTGACCTGCACAGAAGCCCAGCCTGGAGATGAAAAGCCCCTACAGCTTCAGGCCTGTGCTGCCTGCTGCTGTTCGCCAAATTGTCATGTTCGTGTCCTCCCTGCTAGACCACAGGCTCTGCGAGGGCAGGACTCTGTCTCGAACATTGTGTTTGTGGCAATACCCTCAGCACCTCACACAGTGCTTGGCACATAGGTGCCCAATATTTATTGAATCATTGAATAAGCAAATAAATGAAGGAATCATGAATGAATGCCATTAGCTGTCTGTGTGTGAGAGGAACCGGGGACCCTCACAGGTCACAGCAGTGCCTTCCTTCCCATTGCGCCACCCCGCACTCTCCTCTTGTTCTAGAGCAGTGCTAACAGAACTTTTAACAATGATGGAAATATTCTGTTTATACTATCCATTGTGGTAGAGAGTAGCCACTGGGCTGCTGAGCACTTGAAATGTGGCTAGTGTAACTAAGGAGCTGAATGCTTAATTTTATTTAATTTTAACTTATTTAAATTTAAGAGGTGGCTTCGTATTGGATAGTGCAGCTCCACATATGGATTGAATATCACCTAATTGTGAAAACATCAAAATTCTGGTCGAGCCTCTTGCTCTGCCCACTCCCCGCCTCCTTCCTCTCCCCTGCCCCTCCCCCAGAGTCCAGGCCCACCTGCTGTAGTAGACAGAGAAGACATCCTCCTTTAGCACCCTCTGCGAGAGGATATGGTCAAAGACGGGGGTGACCCCCCCAACAGCTTGTGCAGGAAAGCCCATGCCCAGGACACCATCAAACTTGGCCAGCATGAAGGGCATCAGGGGCAGCTCCGTCACCTCGCCGAACGTCTGAGTTACCGTGATTCCACCCACCTATGGGAGGAAGGACCAGAGGAGACCGAGCCTTCTGCCCACCCCCCCACCAGGGTCTAGTCTAGGCTTCCAGACTGAGGCCCTGAGGGGTGCACATGCTCCGGGGATAGCAATTTGAGGTAAGACCATTTCACCAACCCCAACACGTATCCTGTCTCCTAATATGCATCTAGGCTGTTGGGTCTACAGGGAACTGACGTTGCCCAGTGACTGGAAGGGGCAGAGACTGAGAAGGTGCTACAGTCAAGCAGTAATAGAAAAAGATGCCAGGAGCTCCTGCACCTCCTCCGCGGTGGCCCAGCTTTTGCTTCAGCAGGACTAGGTCTCAGTGCACTGCCCCCACTGTAGGCTCAGGAGTTTCTTCAGCAGAGCCAGGCCTGCCTTTTGTGCTCCTTTCCCCCAGTTCTACAGAGGAGTAAGGATTCACACCTATTTCCTCTCAGGTTCCATGAGTAGCCTTTCCCTCACTGATGAAGCAGGGGCCGGAGAAACCCTAAAATGGGGAAAGGGTCAGACACAGGCCAGATGGAAACAAAAACCAGGCTCTGACCCTAATCCTAAACTCTAGCCTTAACTATGGCCTGAGAACCTATCTATGTCTGACCCCAAAACTGCCCCTGACCACAGTGTCCACAGTACTACTGACCCTGACCCTGACTCTGATTTCAGTCTAGGGTCTGGTGAAGGCTCAGTCAGAGCAGGAGACCTCGGGCAGGCTACTTGACCAGAGGCTGTGGGGCTCAGACAAACCCTATGTGTGTGTTAGAGGCAGAAGCCTCTATAAATCACCCAGCGCGGAGCCAGGAGCTCAGGCTTGCTCTGTCCAGTAGCAGAGCCTGTCCCCAGACTCCAAGGTGAACTGGGTGACACCTTTCCCAAGTATGGACCCTAGAATGGCAGGAAAGGTCTGGGGACAAGAAGAGCAGGGGGTCAGATGACCTGGGCTGGTCTCACTTACAGTCACCATGTCCTGGCTCAGGAAGCCCTTGACTTTTCCAGATCCATAGTGGATGGTGAATTCAGTCCCATTCTCCATGTAGCTGGAGGATTCCGAGGAGTCATAGAGGCTGTGAATCTCTGGCAGAAGGAAAAAGGCTGAGGTCCATCCCAGAGAGGTCCAGACAGGGGGGCTGGAAGGCAGGTGCATGTGGGTATGGCCCAAGTGGTTGAGGACTTAGGTGCAGGGATGGGATGGTCCTGAGGTCAGTGGGAGGCTTGGAAAAATGTGGTTTACCAGTCAAGGGCTGTGTTGCTTTGGCCCCTATTATGTACCTATGTCTGAGAATTTTATCTCAAATGAAGCATTTTAAAGTAATTTCTAACACTCGGGTAAGAAGAAGGTTCTGGTCACAGTAAGCACTCAATAAGTTGTTGACTGAAGATAGAGCCAGAAGAGCCCAAGTGCCCGCAGGCTCTCGGGAAGGGTAGAAATGGCCTCCTGGGGCGTCCTGGAGTCGTTGTTCTACCTGGATGGCTATACGGGGGGAAAAGGGTGTTCTCCTCTCTCCTCTCAGGGACAGTGGGAACGGAGGCAGACAGGAAGGAGCTCCAGTGGCGGAAGGAGGGTTTTAGCTGCACGTGAGGCAGGGCTGCCCAGGCAAGGCAGGCAGGGGTCTGGGGCTCACCACAGGCTGTGTAGAGAGGGCTGCACTTGGTGGAGGGCACCCAGAGGTTGGCCGATCCTGTGTCAAAGATGACTTTGAAGGTCTGGGGTGGGGTACCGATGCCAATCTCACCGTAGTACTGGGTCTATAGGGATGGAAGAAAGAGGCAGCTGGAAGGACTTGGGGAGCCTGGGCCTTGGGGTCTAGCTCGATATCCTCCTTGGCACTCAGGGTGAAATTAGGCAGATCGCACAGCCTCTGACGGGAGGCTTGGCACTGTCTGTGACTTCCAGCAAGTGAGACAAGAGGGCAAAATGAAAACACTGGAAACGAAGTAGGAAGGTCCGCACCCCTTGAGGAAGCACTGACTCCGTAAGCAGTGGTCTGTGCTGAGCCCAGTCACGAAAACCTGCATATAGGGTCACTCTCACACACGCACACCTCTCCTCCTACCCACCAGTGACTCCTGGGTCTGAACATCTGAATTCTACACCTAACCCTGCCTCTGGGCTCTTCCCTGCCCTCTGTGTCTCAGGCTTTCCAGCTGCAAAATGTTAATTTGGTAGTGTGCCTAGTACTCCGCAGCAACTCGGTCAAAGACAGCCCAGAAAGAGCGGAGAAAGACCTAGGCCCCAGAGAGAAAGGAGAGCAGAGGGCACTCACGTCCAGGTAGTTGGTGAGGACCACGGGGGACGTGCTGTTGCTGAAGGAGAGGCTCTTCGAGAACCGGCTCCCCTCAGCCCTGAGCCTGGTCACATCCACACCGCGCTCCTTCAGGCTTTCTCGGACTGATGGCATTTTCTTGAGGAAGATCCTGGCCCAGGGTGAAGATTGAAAAAGAGAAGAGCTCTGTACTCCCCTATAACCATGGGAGTCCCTTGAGCATCTAGGACAATAACCCCTAACGTAGGCCCAAGCACCTAAGAATAACTCGTGTGCCCTTAGGCCCCTGAAGGAGAATTCACAAACCTCCATGAGTCACCTGCGCTAGTATTAAATAACCCTCAACTACCTTCCTCTTGTCTAATTTTGATCACGGCAAGGCCATTCATTTGTTCGTTCGTTCATTCATTCATTTCATAATGAATTTCATTTCCCATGTCGAGCACCTCCTCTATGCCCGTACCAAGCTGGAGACTAGAGATATAGAGAGAAAGGTCCTTGCTGCACTGAAGGAGCCCTGTCCAGGAGGCGACAGGAGGAAATACAATGTTAGTGTCTCTAACTAGATTAGGCTGGGTGGGAGTGCCCTCTCCAGCCGGACAGAAGGAGACAGTGCCACTTGAGACCTATAGGTGGCAGCAGACACCCACAGCAGCCTGAGGGGCTCCACAGTGATGCCTGGGGCAGGTGCCCAGCCAGGGTGGTGGGGTGCAGTGGACCAAGGAACTGGGTAGGGCAGAGGGAGAGAGGCCAGCATCTCCAGAGTGCCTGTGCACCCTGTCCTTGGAAAGATGTGCCTTTCTGAGGCTAACCCCAGTCCCTTGGCCTCTTCCTGAGACCTTCCTACCACCTTTGGGAGGCAAAATTAGAGCCCTGAAAAACTCACAGCACACTGAGCTGCCTGCCATACTGCCACGCAACCCTCGTGACAACTGCAGACTAGGGTTGTCCTCGGTGAGGAGGAAATGGAGGTCCACAGGATGAGGTGGTTCAGCTGGAACAGGGACTCAGAGCAGCGCAGCCTCTATTTCCCATAGAGGCCCCTGTGCACCGACATGAAGGCTGCTCTCCAAAGCCTGAAGGAAGAGGCCTCCAGTTGTAAGTGGGCAAAGGGGGCCTCAGGGTTGCAGTCCAGCTGATGGAGAATCCCTCAGCTGCCAGCCCTCCTGTGCTTACAGTCTTCCTTCATTCTACGCACCCCATTAAGCCCATGAGCATTAATCCCACTTTTATGTTCCACGTGCAAGTCATGTTTCATATGCCTGTCATTGTGATATTTTAACAGACATGACTTGTCATGTCACAGTTTGCTATTCAACAAGTATCTTTGTGATTATGATCTTATTCGATTCTCAGCCATCCTACAAGGTGGGTAATTTTATTATTCCCATTTTACAGATGGGGAAATGGAGGAACAGAGAAGGCTTGACCCCAAAGAGGTTGCATTTTCCACTATTTGGACAGCCTCTGCTCTAGATTTTCACTTTTACTGTTCAGAAAGCTCCTTTCCTCCCCCTCCAACCTCACAGTTCTTGCACTCTTCAATCCTTCAAAGCCCAGCATTCGCCCTCACTTTCAGGACACCCGCCCATGCTCTCCACCTTGTGCTGGCCTCACCCGTGCTTAGGCTCCTTCCCTGAGTTCCCCAGGTGCCCGCCGCCAGCACTGCTCACAGAGGCGGTGTGGCCTGGCAGTGAGCACAGTGACGGTGCAGACATACTTGAGTTCCTTACTCCCTGCATACTTCTGAGCAACCTCCTTAACCTCTCTGGGTTCTGTCTGAGTCCCGTGAACTCCTCTCCACAAAGGGACTTAATGGTAATACCTACCTCAGAGAATCACTGCACAAATTAAATGAGCTGCCCACAGCCCAATAAACATAAATTGTGAATGTAAAAGGCCATGAAAGCACCTTGAGAATATGGATTTCTGTGTTCGGGTCTCCCAAAGTGTCTAGCATTATGCTCACCCCATAGCAAGTGGCAAAATCCCTATAGCTGGGTTCCAAAGTCCTGACTCCCCCTTCTCTCCTGACCCCATCCAAGTTTCTTTCTCTTTTTGAAGAGAACAAGGGAGAATTTTTTTAACCTCTCTCCGCCTTTACCCTGAGGGTGGAGGCTGCACCCAGGTACCTGCTGCTGGGATGTCGCCAACTTCTCACCCCATGCCCCCAAACCCAGTTACTCTCTGGGAGCCCGGGAGCAGGGAAGAGGCTTTGGAAACAAAAGGCCTAGTGGGCATCGAGGTTTGGCCTCCGTGTGACTTCCCTGAGCCTCAGTGTCCACACCTGTAAAATGGGATTGTTGGGAGGAGGATTTATGATATGTGGAACAATCCTGTGAAACCCTAAGCATTTTACAGGCTTAGCACCTATTACTTTCAGTAAAACCTGACCTTTTACCTAAGATCTCCTGGTCCCTCTGCACTCCCCAAACACAAACCCCTCTCTCCATAGGGCCGTGTCCCACTCTGCCCCTGCCTGTTGTGGCCCTAATGGACGGCTTGTTCCCCCAGAGCCTGGCACCACACATGGATGTGAGTTAGTCTTTCTCCTCCCTCCTCTGGGCTGCTTAAGCCGGTCTTTTGACCTCTGTGACAACCCCCACTGTAGCCCCGCGACAGCTGGGTTTTGCCCGCTTTGCCCGCACACTGGCATCATGCTGAGGGCTATGTCATTAAATCTTCAAAGCAGCTCCAGTGAAGTAGGTGCTGTTATCACCCCTATTGTAAAAATGGTAAACTGAGACCTGGAGAAGTTAAGTAACTGGCCCCTGGTTCCAGAGCTAGTAACAGTAGTTCTATTGGTTCAGCAGAATTTAAACCAAGACAATTCAGCTCTAGGAGCCTTGTATTTAAGCAGTCCTGTGCTTCCTCCCGAGCAGACTTCACCGAAGCACACCCCTCCTCAGAGTCAGACTAGGAGCTCGCAGGACTGTCGTAACCCTCCCTGAGTCCCCCATAGCACCTAGTGTGGTGATCTGTGCAGGAAGCAAAAGGCACGGCTCCCAGGCCTGACTACTGCGCTACTGGCTGTGTGACATTGGACAATTCGCCTGACCTCTCTGAATAGAACTGTATTTCCCTGCCCAGCTGGTTGTGAGGACTGGATGACATCACGTATCTGAAAGCCAGGACTACTAGGAAGGTGGAAACCCATACGCCCCTGCCACCCCACCTCACTCCAGTTACCGTGGGAAGGCGCCAGCGTCCATGTGGAGACTGAAGGTGCAGGAGCCCCAGAGCACCAGCAGGAGACCCCAGAGAGGCATTCTGCTCCCTCGGTCCATGCTTCCTCTGGGTCTCTGGCTCTCCCTGGGATCAATGAAGCCTTGTGGCTCCCAGAACCCTTCTTTTATATTCTCCACACTTGGGACAGTGGCAGTTCTGCTCTGCCCTGATTTATTGCCCTGGGGCAGAGGGCAGGGCATCCAGTAATAAACCCCCCATGGGACTGAGCTAGGTGGGTGAAGGGTAACCAGGTTTTCCCACATGGAGTGGAGGAGCTAGAGGAAGTAGGGCTGTGGGAATGCATTGCTGTACCCAGTGACAGCAGCAGCGGGGACTTGACCTGGCCCTGGACCCCCGGAGGGGACAGAGGCCAGTGAGAAACAGCACTGCTCAGGAGCAAAGTCAGGGCTGGGATTGGCCCTGCCCTGAGTTTCCAACCCCAAACAAGGCTCCATCCCTGTGCCCTTGAAGTTTCTGTGTTCACCTTGCTGTGCCCCAGCTGGCTTCTGCCAGACTGCATCTCAGTGTTCCCATCTGGAATATGGGCGACTCCTCCTGGCTTGTTCTCAGACAGACCCAGACCTCCCTGCTGCCACTTTCCAGGTGTCTGTCAGCAGTGGCCATGGGGAAGTGCACCTAGCGTGGCCCTCAGGAAGCAGGGAGCTGCAGGCAGGGACCTGTCCTCTGTGGGCCTAGTGTATCTGGAAGGGAAGGGCAGCTTTCAGGGCCTTCGACAGAAGAGTGAAGTGGGGCAGCTGCTTTTTCAACTTCCAGTTCCAACTCTACCACAACTTGCTATGTGACATTGGACCCCTTCTTCCCCCTCCCTGGGCCTCAGTTCCTAAATATGTGCAATGAAGCAGATGCTTGGTCACCCCCGGGCTGCCTTCCTGCTCAGACACTCTAGTATTCGTTCTGCGTCTTCAGAGTACAGAGTACTCTCTGTACCAACTATGGGCAGTGAAGCCTTTTTAAAAATTTTCCATCTGTAGATTTTATTGTATTTATTATTTTCATCTTCACCCAAGGATATATCCGTTGACATTTAGAGGGAGAGGAACATCTGTCGGTTGCCTCCTGTATGCATCCTGAGCAGGGATAGAACCCGCAACCTAGGTTAAGTACATGCCCTGTCTGGGAATCCTACCACTGACCTTTTGGGCAATGGGGCACCACTCCAACCAACTGAGCCACACAGGCCAGGAAGGACAGTAAAGACTTAATCAGAGGAGCTCATCTCTGTTGCTAATATGTCTACTAATGAATGTTTGGGCCTCAGAAACGATAATGCCTTCCTCACCAAATGTTAGGAGAATTGGGTATTTCTTGGTGTAAACTCTGACTGAAGAATTCACGGGTGCGGTGGCTGGCAGTGGGATTGGTCTTGTCAGATTGACTTTATTAAGCATTCCTATAGGTTTCTGTGCTCTTTCATTCATTAGAAAATATTCACAGAGCATTTATGATTTGTCAAACACTTTTCAAGATGTTGAAGTCACAAAGGTGGCAAAAATAAACTTGGTGTCTGCTCTTATGGAGATAGAGTGTTCTCATCACAACACAAACATAAAATACTGGATAAGCCAAAAAGTCCATTTAGTTTTTTCCATAAGATAAAAGGCACATTGTTTATTTCCACTAATAACTATTGATTTGACATTTTGAGGATGTTGGATATCCCCCACGTGGTAGAATCCGCCACGTGGTACAACATTGATTGTTCTCAAATAATGTCTTGATTTTGTCGCCATCAACTTCAACTGGTCTACCCAGCTGTGGAGCATCGTCCAGTGAGAAGTCTCCAGCACCAAACTTTGCAAACCACTTTTGACATTTGATCAGTCACAGCACCTTCTCCATACACCGCATACATCTTTTATTGTGTTTCAGTTGTGTTTTTTAACCTTCCTTAAAGTAATAAAACATAATATGCTGAAAATGTTATGGCTTTTCTTCCATCTTTAATGTTAAAGTGGCTAACAAACAAATCACCAATTTTGATAGTTTTTTTAAATGCCCACTGATGTGACAGCTGTCACAATACAATCTAACAAAATTATTTTGAATGACGTTAAAGACAAGTAGGTGCTACTAGAGCCACCTTATGGAAACAAACAAACGTTTTGGCCAACCCAAAGTACTAACAATGACCAGTACCAGTCAAGGAACTCCAGGAAGGTTCCCCCAAGGCAACTCCTTGTGATCTGAAGGTTGTACCGGCAGGCACTGAATAGCTGAAGAGGGGAAGAAAAGAGTTCCAGTGGGAATAGCATGTGCAAAGGCCCTGGGGAGAGAGGGAACATGGGGAAAAGAAGGGCCTGACGAAGAGACAAGCTGGCTAAACGGAGAGGAGAGGAGTGAGGGGTGGTGGGCTGGGAAGGCAGAGGGGAAGGCGGTCTGGCACTGCACGCAGACTGACATATGCCGGGCACCCTTTTAAGTAAGTGCTTAATGCGTTTAGTTCTTACAGCAACCTCATGAGGAAGTACCACTATTACTCCATTTTATAAGTGAGGAAATCAAGATATAGGGGGGTTCAGAAAGTAATTTGCTCAGGGTCACACTGACAGTAAGTGATGAAGTCAGCCTACAAATTTAGGCAGTATGACCTAGGACTCATTACATAGCTGATGATAGTGTCAAGCCATAAAAGTTCTCGAACTCCATGCTATGTTTGTCCTAAAAGCAGTGGGCGAAGAGGTGAAGGAGAGACTGATGATGTCATTAAATATGTTTGCAGAAACACCGGTGACAGTATGGTCTAGCGAGGACTTGGGAACGGTCCACAGTCCTGTGGCTCTTCCAGTTATAGGAAAGCCATGGTGCTTGAACCAGCATGGTGGGCACGGTAGAGACAGAGAAGGCTGGATGGAGTCGAGAGAGATTTAGGAAATAAAATGTGCAGGATTGCGTGGTGGGTTGGATACAAGGAGTAAGGGAGATGCTGGATGCCTAGTGAAAGAGGGGGTACAATGGAAGAGAACCAGGATTCCAGAAGGGAAGCAGGTCGGGGAGACCATGAGTTTGAGGACCTGTTAAGGGCGGGGTACCTTTGAGATATCCCAGGAGTGATGTTGGATGGCAGGTGCATGTACGGACCTGGGTGAAAGATTCGTGTGTTATTTGTAACTGGTAGTTGATGACACTGATAGGAATGAAAGTAGCCAGGGAAGAGGATGGAGAACGAGAAGGCCCAGACTCCGAGCTCTAAGGAACCAGCGGTGGAAGAAGAGTCTGCAGAGGACACCGAAGGGGAGAGGCCAGAAGGCGGGAAGAAGCATAGGTGTCCCTGCGGAGGGGGGAGAATGCGGAGGGATGGTGAGCAGTGCTGGTGCTGCCACCAGGGCAGAGGAGATAGACTAAAACCTAGACACGTGGCCATTGGTGCCACTGGGGAGCGGTTTCCGTGGTGCGGGAGGCCAGAATCCAGCCAGAGGTGGAGGCAGTGCACACGGCACAGCAGCTACTTTGAGAAGTTGGGCTGTAAGGAAAGGCGGTGCTAGCCGGAGGGGACTGAGGACACAGTGAGGGGGTTTCTCTCTCTCTTCTCTCTTTCTTCCCTCCCTCCTTTTCCTTCCTCTCTCCCGCTGCCTCCCCTTTCCTCCCTTTTTCTAATGATGGGAGGGGGCTGACTCTATTTAAAGGCACAGAAAGGTCTCCTCTGAGAGGAAGGGATGACCAGGGCAACAGGGTCCTGAGACGGCAGTCGCACACGGTGGGACACGCTGGGGCAGGAGGGAGGTGGGCATGCGCAGTGTCCGTAGTTGAGCTGTTTGGTATTGGAGGCTGAGGGGCTTTCTGTCTGGTGACTGCTTCTGGAAGCAAGGACTTCTACTGGAGTTGGAAATGGGAGGGTACTCGGAGGCATGAGGAAGATGGGGAAAGTTTGAAATAATTATGAAATGTGGAAGGTGGGAAGAAGCTGACCAGGAACACTAAGAGGATTTTGGGGAGGAATTAAGATGGCTGGAGAACATGACTTTATAGGAAGCCAGTCTGCTCTGTTCACTGCCTCTTCTGCCACTGCCATAGTGCTTGGCTGTTTGGGGACAGACACAGGGAAATTACGTGGCTGGTGTCGTAGAGGGCTGGGCTGATGCCAGATGTGGTAATCAAAGATGAGGGGCAAAGGTTTTTCATGAACATTTTTGCTAGCTTTCTAGCAAAACCTAGCAAAGGTGGGTGTGGGGGGAAGTCAGGAGAGGACAGGATGGATGAGCTGGAAGAAAGTGGAGGACCCGGACAGGTGAGGGGAAAGAGCTGTGGTGGTGGGATTTGTGGCAGCAACTGTGGCAGCATGAAGCTGGAAGGCAGAGAGCTGGTCAAGGCCTGGGCGTTAGAGATCGTCTCCTCAGAGAAGCAGTTACGATCACAAATCCAGAGTAGGATGTGGGGGAGGATGGCTGCAGTGCAGTGGGGTGAGGCCCCTGCAAGGAGGACACTCAGGAAACCAAGGAGCTAGGGTGCTGGCTGTCGCTGTCTGTGTGGGTGGTGGTGTCACCTGGGAGGATGACAGAGGGTACCAGGTGGAGGAAGGCTGTAAGCCAGAAGCCATGGCCTTTGAGAAGTGATGGGGTGAGACCTGCAAGTCCGGTAATCACAGTGGCAAGTGAGAGAGAGGAAGGAGTCCAAGGCAAAAATCAAGGACCCAAAAGGAGGAGTCTTTTTCCCATGTCTACCTCAGCCCTGGAAGCTGAGTGGACCAGTATCCTCAGAACACAGGAGGAAATCAAGACCTAGGGGGATAAATAATGTGTCCTCATTCACAGCTGGTAAGTGGCAGAGTGGACATTTGCATCTCCCATGTCATATCCTGTGTTACATGAGGGTCCAGCTGCCCAGGTGATGGGTGCCCTGCCTGAGAAGCTCACCTGTCTCCCCCTTGAGGCCCTCAGGAGAGTCTGTCAGGGAACTTAGGAGAGGGGCTCAAGAGTGATATTGTTTCCTTCCTCACCAACAGGCTCCCTCAAGATTATGACCTGTCGTGGCCAGTGAAAGTGACTGACCTCCCATCCTTCCACTCCCTCCCCTCTCTTCTAACCCTAGAGCAGAAGGAGCAAGGAGCAGGGATAGAGAGCA